TTACATTTATATGTACTTTTTATTATACAGAGCTAGTCCTGCTGTGTCTTCACTGGCCATTCCCTGGCAACAACTTCTAACATTGGAAATTCTTCAGCTTCATGTGCTCAGGTCCTATCTTCACAGCCTCCCAAGCAGAACTCAACTGACAACTGAACTCATTGCTCCAACTGTCCTGATTATAATATCTCAGCACAGACCACATAGAAAATACTGTTCTTGTACTGTTGCATTCATGGCCATTGCCTTGGGAATGTGTTTACTGAGTTGCTGCTCAGAAACAGCCATTGTTTATTCATCTATTTCACAGTCAGTGCATAGCAACGAATGTACATGCTGTATTATTGTTGGATTAATCAAATGACAGAGGGCTGCAATGCATTGAGGTAAAGACTAAAATGAGAAAATGAGAATCTACATTTGAAATTGTTTGGGAATAGAGTTAAATGAAAACAACAGCATGAGAGATGACGCATGTATTATGGACATTACTTAGAGGAATAAAAAGACTAATATCTTCACATACACATTATTTGAAGCTCTCAGTAACTACTGACTTTGAATTCTTGATCAGTAACACGAAATCATCCATTCCATCAGAGCCACTTATATGACATAAAGCAAAAGGAGTCTAACTCTTATACTGTTATTTCCATTTATCAGTAGCTACTTACTTACTTACATACATACTTACAAGGAAGTGGCCTCCCTAGGGGTAACGTTCCCACCTCATGACTCAAGGTATGCGGGTTCAAACCCGGTGGAGGTCATGGAATTTTTAAGGGCGGAAAAATTCAGGGAACAAGTCCTCCGGGAGGGACTTTAAGCCGCGGGTCCTGTGTCGCACCTTTACGGCACGTAAAAGAACCTCATATCTTCAAAGGAGGTCACTGAGCCAAATTCAAGGTCATTTCCCGCCCAACAATAAATAGTCCCTAACGCCTCTGGTAGATGGGAGAAGCATCTAGATACCACTGAGCCAGTAGAGGCCGAACTCGCTGGCTGAGTCGGGACTGATGGCACGCACCAGTACCGGTAAGGTATAGAGACTGGTAGAATATCACAGAGGGACATACAATAGATCAAACTGGTCACGGTGCATGGGGAAACCCACCCCCACCAATAATAATAATAATAATAATAATAATACTTAAAGGTGGTTCAAATATGACCAGGACTGATTTGTGTGTAAACAAGCCGCACTGCGCAGCAGCTGTGCAACCTTGAGAGAGTGAAGTCACAACCTCCACCCTCCCTCCTGTTTGGGTTAGAACCTGTTCAGTCCTGTCTGGAAATTGCTAGAGTGATGAGCGAACAGAAGGTACCGCGGAAATTCACCACAGACTCCAACAACAGTATGGGGAAGAGTGTCTCTCATGGACCCATATGTTTGAGTGGTGTAAGTGCTTCAGAGAGGGCAGAGAGCATGTGGAGAATGAACTGCATGATCATCAGCCACGAACATCTGTCACCAAGCCGAACATTGATCGTGCAGACAGGCTTTTTCGTAAAAATAGGCGCATCACTATCAAGGAACTTGGAGTAATGCTGTCCATCAGGGTTGGTAGTGTAGGAGACATTGTGAAATACTACCTGCACTATTGCAAGGTGAATGCATGGTTGGTATCGCACACTTTGACGGACGTAAACAAAATGGTGCGCATGCAAGCTACTAGTCGTCTCCTACAGCAGTTTGAAGATGAAGGTGATACATTATTGAAGTCTATAGTGACCAACGATGAAACGTGGGTGCACTACTTCATTCTCGAGTCCCAGCAGTCATCACGAAAGTGGCAGCATATCAGTTCTCCCAAACCCAAGAGAGTGCAGAGGAGCTGTTTGGCAGGAAAAGTGATGGCAATGTTCTTCTGGGACTGGCAGGCCATTTGGCAGGAAAAGTGATGGCAACGTTCTTCTGGGACTGGCAGGGGGTTATCCATATAGACTTTCTGACAGATGCCAGAACAGTCAGTGCAGATTATTACTCAGACCTCCTGGCAACAGGCATGAAGGAAAAGATCTGATCTAAGTGGGTAGCCTTCCTTCAAGACAATGCATGCCCCCATACGGCCAAAACAACAACGGAAACCCTCCAGATATTGAAATGGAACCTTCTGACACATCTGCCGTACAGTCCTGATTTGGCCCCAAGTGATTTTTACCTGTTGGGAAGGCTCAAATCAGACTTGCAAGGCATGCAGTTTGTGGACGACGCTGTCATCCAGACTGTTCGGGAGTGGACATGCCACCAACCACAAGCCTTTTTTTGAAAAGGGCATCAGCATGCTTCCAGAGGGTTGGAAAAAATGTGTTCACTCCAGAGGGGAGTACGTTGAAGACTGACATGTGCAAGTAAGTGTTTGGCAATTATGGTTTCTAAAAAAAAAAAAAAAAAATCAGTCCCAGTCATATTTGAACCACCTTGCACTTACTCATGGAGCTGAGCCCTTCTGGAGGAGCCGCCAATTCTGCTACTCAAGAATTTTCCAGCATTTTATTGAACCCAAAGGTTCATTACCGTGTTCACAAGAGCCCTCCACTGGTCCCTATCCTGAGCCAGCTCAATTCAATCCATACCATCCCATCTTATCTCTCTAAGATCCATTTTCATATTGTTCACCTACCTACGCCTTGGTCTTCCCAGTGGTCTCTTTCCTTCTGGCTTTCCCACCAATATCTTATACGCATTCCTCGTCTCCTCCATTCGTGCTACATGCCCCGCCCACCTCATCCTCCTGACTTGATCATTCTAATTAAACGTGGAGAAGAGTACAAGTTATGAAACTCCTCATTGTGCAGTTTTCTCCAACCTCCCGTCACTTCATCTCTCTTTAGTCCAAATATTCTCCTCAACACCCTCAGTCTATGTTCCTCCTTTAATGTCAGAGACCAAGTTTCACACCCATACAGAACTACAGGCAAAATTACAGTTTTTTATATTGTCACGTGTTGGGGTATGTCACACAACAAATAACTTCACACTGTCTTCGATCTTGGTGAATTTATTGCACATTCGCTCTTACACTTATACAATTCACATTTTCCCAATTACTGCAATCTGCAGTATCACAATTACTTCTCCTGCTGGAGTCACTGCCATTCACTCGATACAACTCAGCAACAACTTGTGGCTGCTGGACTTCACCTCATCTCTTCGAAGGCTTCACAATCCACACTCCCTCTGACGAATACTCCTCATTGTGTAGCTTCCGCACTGACAACACAGAAAACAGTTACGTGATAGCTACCACTGTTATACAACGTCGTGTTTACAGGCATTGCTGGGCAACACACTGCTAAGAGTTGTTTATTGCTGCATAGCAACCAGCATGCTTCGGCTCGGCTTGGCTCACTTCAGCTCTATTTGGCACGGCACGGAGAAACACAGCTTTCCTTACTGTTGCATAACTTGGCAACAGACTGTTTATCAAGGGTCTGTATTCGTAGTAACTCGTCCAGCAACAGTTAGACATGTCACACTGCTCCCTTCTTAAGGCCGTTCATCTCAAATAGCCTAACAGTGTATCCCTGGTCCTTTCCTTCCAAGGGTATGCTTGCAACGTTTCCTTTTTGTCTGATTCGGTGTGTCTATTCTCCCCGTTGTCCGTTTTCCAACTGCTACATCCGCTCTCTCCTTAAGACCAGTGTGTCTCGAGCGGTTTCCTACTAATGTGCCAGAAGATCCAGTTGTATCGCAATCGTCCCTCACATTCATCCACCACACATTCACTCTCGCTGGGGAGGCTGGTACTTCTATGTTACTGGCTCCTCCTCTGTACTAATGTTGCCTTTTATTCACTTCGGAGGGGGCCTACCCCTCCACAAGGTCCATTTCCTCATTTTCGGTAACCCACTGGAAGTTCCGACTGCTCACTTCATGATTTCCAGCTCTAGCATCTTCTTGAGTCTTATAGGCCGGTCCTATTTTTCCCAGAGGTGACAGATGTCTTGAACTGCACCCTCCAATACTGATCGCGGTTGCTCTCTTCTTTTTCTCGTATAGCGGCTGCTTGCCACCTCGGTTCTTAATTCCATTTTTGCATTCAGATCTCATTTAATATCTCCTCCCAAGCATCCGTTCTTTCGGGGTTCCTAGTACCACACTGCCATTGCTTTGTAATGCCTGTGTCCTGCACAGCATGTAATCTTCCTTATGGCTGTAGTTACTTCTTTCTGCGGCCCACAATTTCCGTGGGTCAGAGATTTCCTGAAGATGTTCCTTCTGCGCCTTTTGCTGCGTAGCACCCAGCCCGCTTCGGCTCAGCTCGGCTCTACTCATCACAGCACAGAGAAACACCGCTTTCCTTACTGTTGCGTAACTTGGCAACTGACCGTTTATCAAGGGTCTGTCTTCATGGTAACTTGTTCCACCTCCTGTTGCCCAGCAATGGTTAGACATGTCACAATATTCTAATTTTTATGTTTTTTTGGACAGCAGATGAGAAGACAAAAGGTTCTAGACTGAATGGTAGCAAGCATTACCCAAGTTCAATCTCCTCTCCATTTCCTCCTGAATCAGGTTTCGATCTGTTATCGTTGTTCCCAAATATCTGAACTGTGCCACATTTTCAAAACATCTGTTTCCTATCTTTATGCCATGATTTTGCCCCACATTTTGGTGACAAGACAGCAACATATATATCAGTAGCTACAGGGAGATTATTTGTGAACCTGCACCAAACTGTTAATGCCATTCCAGCAGAACTGAGATGAACTCCACACAACTGTTTTCTTTCACATGTTCAGATAGCCAGAGCAGTCAACAAGCTCAGAAAGCAACAAATCAGAAATGAAACCCACCAAAATCACAACAGGTGCCAGAAATGTCTCCTGTTCTTATACATGCATTCTTTTCATTTCCATAAAATATTTGCATTCAAACAATGAATCTTTTTTTAGAAACAAATTAGACTTCAAGCTTAAAATTTAAAACCTGAAATCTGAAACTCCAGTCTCTTGTGTAAGGGGTTTTCAAAGAGAATGTTCAAGTTGAGCACTGATTTTATCCAGTTTCTTTTAAGTGCCACTTTGATTTAATTTTTTTGTTCAATAATGACTGTCTGTTGAAACTTCTTTACAATTGTGTGAACAGTTCTTGCTGTTTGGAACTGTAATATGCTGCTTCTTACTCAGACATGTGACATGCTATCAGATAATCTCCTTGTGTAATCACTGAATACTGAATAACCTGTTTATATAAATCTTTGCTAAATCATTAGTAACCTAGGTGGAATGCATTTATGAATGGTGTGTAAGTAGATTATAACAGTTACTGTGAAAGGCCAGAAAACTGATACAGGCAGGTGTACAAGGGGGTGCACTGCCTTTAGATTACACTTTCCGTACATAACAATTGAACTCCCCATTATTCTGTAGAACTACAAAAACTTGTTTTTCCTTTGATGAATGACCATGATGGAAGAGAGTGACAATGCAGTTATGGTCACTGCTATCCTCAGCATTGATGTTCCACAGAAACCAAACTTGTCATAGGCCAGTCCTGAGCAGAGTGGAGCAATAAGACGCGCGACAGACGACATACTCTGTCCTGATCCTATCAGTGAACCTCTCTGGTTTGGTGCAGTCCTCTGTAGAATTACCTCAGATGTGACAATTCTCAGTAATGAACTGGATGCACTCACTGGTATGAGACACACAAGAAAGAAAGTTAGGTTAGGTTTAAGGCTCAGAAGAATAAATGAGAGTGTGAGGACTCCAAAACCATGTAGCATTTGAAGAGCATAATATTTGTCTTTTTTATAAAATCTGCCCATCCCTCCACTTAAGAAGCCAGCTGTAGCACCCACCAGACCTTGGAATGAGATTGTGTAGCCAATACCTGAGGGTGTAATACTATATTCTTCCTTGAGGATAAGTGAAAAGCTCTGGTAATGTACAGCCTGTGCAAAACCTAGCAGGAACTTTAGAGTGAAAACATCCCAGTAGACTGACCATCTGATATGTAAGAGGCGTGTTACTGCTTGAAAAATGTCTGATGAACGAAACAGTGCTCTTGAACTTTCCTTTGATGTTTCTTGAATGTCCTTTTTCTTGTCAGTCCATATTCTGGTGCTAATTCCAAGATTAGTGGCATCTTCACTGAGTCCTAATATGGTGTCATTCTTTTTGTGTTCTTGCGGAGTGTTGGACAGGAAAAAATGTACAATTGCTGAAATAAAACATCAGAATTATGACTTGGCAGTTGTAATACACAGACATTTTACATCTGCCTGACATGAGGCAACCATACAAAGTAATGATAAAGCAAAGCAATGTATAAAGTACTTTTCTATAAGAGGATATGATCCAATAGTCAAGCAGTGTTTCTTATTGATACCATTGATATCTCTATTTCTCTCTCTCCCACCCCCTCATACACGCACGGTTTATAGCTGTGTATGCGTTACCTGACTACGTGTGTACATTTTATCATTCTCATGCCATAGCAGTTTTCACGTACAAAAATCTTTAGTAAAATCTGTCGCAACACAACAACAAGACAGTCAAGGTCAATATTACCTGAGCTATACGTTTCAGCTTTTAAAGCCATCATCAGGCAAATACATAGTTATTACACTTGCAAAATATTGAACTGCATTTCAATGTGATTGTACAATAGTGCTGGATACTTGACAAGTATGTTACACTATAATAATAAAAAGTATAAAAATACAATAAAATTATAAAATTATTATAAAAACGAAAGTTATACAATTAAAAACATGGTTAAAAACTATTCATGTAATATTTCATATTATGAAGTCTGCTGTTGCAATTGTACAGGGTGATTCAGAAAGATGGACACAATTTCAATTGGCTATATTTCCTGAATTATATGTTGCATTTGAAGTCTGTAAATTACATCTGATTATACATACATGGAAATGTATAGATGTTCAATGTGCCCCCCCTCCTCCGGCTATACGGATAACATCTAGACGGTAGCTGAATTCATCCTATACTCGATGACAAATATCTTGCGTCACTGAGTTCACCGCAGCTGTGATACAGTTTCTTAGGTCATTCAAATTTGTGGGAAGAGGTGGTACATGCCAGACAGTTGTTTGTGGTAGTCCAAGTTCTCTACTAGCACTACGGGTTGACTTCATTGGGCTGCGCTCAAAGTTCACTCGAATGCACTCCACGTTCTCCTCCGATACACGCGATTGGCCCGGGCTTTTACCCTTACACAGAGAGCCAGTTTAATCAAATTGTTTATTCCAACGATAAATGCTCTTCCTCGGAGGTTGGATGTTAAACTTACGATGAAATGCACGCTGCACCGCAGTCGCAGACTCACTTTTACTGAACTCACGAATGCAAAAATCTTGTGTTGCACAGTAGCAATCTCACTTACAACTGACGCAGTGATGGAGGGCACTAGCGGTAGTACTAGAAACTTTATAACATCCTCTTTCAAATGTACTTTACAGAATTCAAATGCAACATACAGCTCAGGAAATATAGCCAATTGAAATTGTGTCCATCTTTCTGAATCACACTGTATTGTTATATTCCAATGGACATATACTTGCCTCATACAAGTATGGAATGGTTAAATGCTTGGAGGCCCATGGTATCAGTGCATTATTATTTAGTATTTATTGTTTGACCGGTGCCTGATTTTACGTGTGTATGTCCGTTCTGGTGGGAAGACAGACTGCAACTTACATACACAGGTGTTAGCTCTATCTTCAAAAAGAGATGACAACTTTACAAGGCCTTAAGTTATGATAATGATGAACACCCCTCTCCCCTCAAAAGAGAAACATGAAGATGAAATACTCGTATATGTTCATATCTGCTGACAAGCTGCAGTAAGACATTTGTTATTTTCCAAGTTTTACAAGAGAATGTTGTCTTGTTCCTTTTCTTCACAGTATCTGGAGGCCCCTTTGAATGTGAGGCCCTAAGTTGTGCCTTGCTTCGCTTACATGAAAATCTAGCATACCATCAGAGGAATAAAGATGAAAGTTTGTTCGCTGTTTTAATGGAGAAATGAGGTGACAAGCTAAAAGTTTAAAATCAAGTGGTTAGTCACTGGCTTCCCACCGCAGCGGCCCGTGTTCGATCCTGGGTCTGGTCAAGAGGATTTGTCAAAAAGTGGACAAAGTGGCGCTGGGGCGGGTTTATCTGAGTACGTCAGTTTCTCCTGCCAATCTTCATTCCACCAAATTCTAGGCCAATCACTGGCCGCCATGCCGAGTGCACCCGGTTGGACTCCACCCCCCACTAAGCGAATTAAAAAATAAGGTATGAAAGGGATAAAGGAAATGAAGAAAGGAGGGGAAGGATGAAGACATGGAAGAAATGATTCCCCATGTAAAGTCAGTGGGCTTCTGAACTAGTGAATCAATACCAGCATATGATGAAAATAATCGCTATAATGGCTTGCTTTTGTGGGACATTCACACAAGGAGTAAAGATCTTAGCACCAGTCATCTAATTTCAATAATTATGAATGCAGCAGATAATGCAACTGAAAGTAAACCATAGTACAGCAATTCTATATGCTCAGTGGCTTTAAATGTTCTCAGAGAAGGCATTAAACTTGTATAAAATGCTTTTTGCACAATATTCTGAATTACAGACACGATTAATTGGTGGGATGATGAAATTAAGACAGCTGAATTGTAATGAAAGGTGTGAGAATGCTAAGAATTATTAAACTGGAAGCAGGTGGCATTAGGTTGATCAAATGAAGTAGGAGGAGTTGGACAGTACATGTCACTTATATGGGAGGGAAGCAAAATGCATACAGACTCCTTGTCAGAAAACCCAAAAGGAAGAGACCACTTGGAAGACCTAGCTGTAGATGGGAGGATACTATTAATATAATATATTAAATAATATAAATATTAAAATGGATCTTAAAGGAACAGCAGGATGGAAGAATGTGGTTTGGCTTCATCTGGCTCAGGATAGGAAACTGTGCCAGGCTCTTCTGAACATAGTAATAAAACACTGAATTGTATAAAAATGCTGGAAATTTCTTGATTAGATGAACAACTGTTAGCTTCCCATGGAGTTAGTTACCAGATATACAGTGAATGGAATATATCAGTAGTAACAGTACAGTTGTTTGGGGCCGCGCCATAACTCAATCAGTCAGTCACTGGCTTCCAACTGTGGCGGCCTCGGTTCGATCCCAGGTCTGGTCAAGTGAGATCTGTGGTGGAAAAAGTGGCACTGGGGCAGGTTTTCTCCAAATACTTCGGTTTCCCCTGCCAATCTTCATTCCACCAATTGCTCCACAATCACCCTCACCTATCATCTGGGGCTGGTAGAATAGGCCAAAAGTGGCCGCAGTACAGGGGACTTAATCCCACCCCACTAGCAACAAAAAAAACAGTATAGTTGTTGGTACACTGAACATGTGAGTAGTATATAAATTAAAATAGCATAATTTTTAAACTGCTGCTTTGGAGTGCAATGCATTGCCATTTTCAAGATCTAAGATTTTTGTCTGTTTCTGATCAAAGTTGGTACAGTAAACTTATACTTAAAAGTTGTCAGGCAGATTACATTTTAAGCAACATCAGTCAAATGGTGTTGCCATTACACAAAGGTTAATGTATTGGCCCATTTATAAACATGCATTTCCTGCCCTGTAAGGCAGTATCCATATGTAGCTTCATCACATGACTGAACACAGTAATATGTATGCACGGTGCTTACCAAAGTTGATCAAGAAGAAGAGCATGACGATGCAGCAAACATAATGGAAACCATTCTCCATTTCTGCCATATGACCACCAACAACTGGCCCCACTATAAAGCCTACTGAACCAAAGGAAACTAAGCGACTCTGCATGATCAACTGATCTCTGGTAGATGCCACATCTGTCAGTAGTGTCCTGCACAGTGTTTGTGTGTGTTTCAAAAGTCCTGTTAAAAAAAGTATGGAGATATTTAGTAGTGTTATTAAATATTTGCCCAGTTTATTAGACTGCAGACATTTTTCTTTTCCTTGGCACTACAGCCCCAGTGGGCCTAGGCCTACCACCATGAACTTCTCCGTTCACTTCGGGTTTTCTAGATCTTACACATTCGGTAGGACTCCTTGGGCGGGTGATCAGCTCATCACAAGGCCTCTACCTGTACACAAAAACAGAAAAATGCACACACACAAACTAAGCATCCATGCCCTGAGTGGGATTCGAACCCACGATCCCGGTTTCCAAGCGAGCGAAGACAGTACATGCCTTAGACCACTCGGCTACCGTGACCGGCACTGCAGACATATAAGAAACAATATTCTGCATGAAGATGTAAAATTGTTAGAACTACCAAATAATGACCCATTTCATAATCAGAATGCAGGTATTTCCATTTTGATGGGGGTCTCAGTCCCACTGACTGTCAGAATTTAAGTTATGGGAGTATAATATATAATCCATACTTTAACACAGCACTTTTTTCAGAAATATTTTTGGCCAAAAATTTAATCTTGTATTGGAAAGTTCAACATGCTTGTCTGATTTGGTCCTATATGACTTTTTCAGGAATCTGAAACTAAAACCCCTTTAAGGAACCTCATTATTAATCATTTGAAGACATCCAGAACTATGTGCTGATGGTACTAAGAGGACTCAGAAAAATGATTTCAATAAGGGTTTCCAGGCATAGAGGGGATTTTGGAACTGACTGGCCAGTTGTGCTTTGAAAGCGACCACACGTAACTAAATGTGACAATATACAGTTTCTTTTACATAAGCAGCCCAATTGTCTGTCAGACTGCAAATATTTTGAAGCACAGGAGGCATGGGAAATTGATTTTTAACAGTTTTTTGTTTTAACCTGTGCGAAACATAATAAAACAAAGAGTTTTAATGTGAAGCTGCTAATTTTTAATATACAAAATATAAGCGAATATAAGCAGCTTAGGGAGAAACATAATCATGAAAGGGTTAAAATAATTATAGGAACTATGACCAAGAAGAATGAGAAGGGAAATGTGGCACACATGTGAGGGGTCGAGAGGGTAATTATGCCAAATTTTTCAGAAAAAATGTAATGAAAAAAATACATTTTTGGCCCAAATATTCTCAGCTCTCTTGTCTTTGTGTCTCTGATACCATCTAATTTCAGTTCTGTACCTAGACCAATCCTGATGAGTGCGATGACTGGAATTGCTGTTACTGTACCCAGAGCAAAGTAAAGGATGGCAGAAAGGAGAAGTGTCAACTGCAGGACAAAGCTATGACCTCTGACATCACTCCAACTTCCCTGTAGGTAACATGACAGTGCTCATTAAACATATCCCAACAGATGAAATGCAAATACTGATTTCAGAAAAGTTTCAGAAGTATTTTTCATTGTACTTCATTACACAATGCAGGATGAGCCATGGTCGTATTTAACACCAGAGAATCAAGAAAGATATTTCTGTTTCAAGAACTGTTTATGGATCACATACATAAATTAGTTAATTCATAGCCTCCATCTCTGCATACTCTCTGATATACATTTTGTTCACATGGTTAAGCAAGAATGGTGGTATTAAAAAGGTTTGTTCATACACGACATCTGTCTGCTGTATAGATATATAAAATGTGAAAACTGAATGAATAAGATCCAAGTGGCAGGATGATAGCACAATGATAACACATTCAATGTGGACACAACCTATATTATGTTACAAATATTAGTGACACTTCCCAAATTCAGAGTCTGAAGGAAACAGTCTATAATTGATAATATATGCACCTTATAACATGCTGAAAATTATTTTTTATCAGGTTAGTCTTTAGTAAGACGTTTCAGAAAATGTATTTAGGCTCTTAAGTAATACGGACTTCAACCCTGCACTGCCTACAGAGGTGCTACTGTCATACACCTGATAAGCTGCCATCCTGTAACAGTCACGTGAAACAAAACAGAATGAACCAAAGTGGCCTAACAAAATGTAGCATTTCCATCATATGGAGGGTTATTAAAATTGGTCAGGTAGTTTGGGCTCTGTCACATGCAGATGAAAGGTATGATATATGGACATAATGAATTTTATTTTCAGATCAGAACTAATGTCAAACAAATGGAAACACTATAAAGCAAAGGGTGCAACATATGGGGGTGTGCTGAAGAGTTAAAATATTAAGAAAGTGCAAAGATTTGTTCTCCCACTCTGAAGACGAAACAAAGTGCTTATGATAATATTTGAACGAGACAAATGAGACGGAGGCTAGAGAAGTACATGGTGACCCAATTATGGAGGTCAAGATGGCCAAATATGTAGTACTCTTGGATGAGAGAATAAATGAATGTAATCTTATGGACAGGGGCCATGCGGTAGTGTAGTTGGTTGAGGCACTATGCTACAAGCCAGAAGGTCGCGGTTTCAAGTCCCGATGAGGTCACTGAATTTTCTTCAATTGACCTAATCCTTCCAGCCGCTGTATGGCCCTGGGGTCGACTCAGCCTCTAACAGAAATGAGTACCAGGAATATTCTTGGGGGTAAAGGGCGGCTGGCACATAGGGCTGACAACCTTGCTGCCATCTATGAGCCGATTGTCTAGAAAAGGTGGGAACCTCAACATCTCACAACCCTATGGGCCTCCACGGCCTGTTACAGGGATACCTTTACTTACTTTCACTTTTAAGCTTAAGGACAGAGGCTATTTGTGCCCAATACCCAGGCAGGAAAAAAAATATTCCAAAATAACACAGAATTCTTGAACAGTAGAATAAAAATCTCCAGGGAATATTCTATATGAGGCACATAGCTACATCCCAAGCATTGTAGCACCTTCAGGTTTTTATCAGAATTTGAATATAAATTATCCAGAATAAAACTAACATCTAAATAAAGTTTCCCCTAATCTTAAGCACTAAGCCATTAAAATGTATGGTGGAGAAGAGGTATAGCTCCACACATTCTGACCCTCCAATAAATGAAGGTGAGGTGCCACTTTTATGCTTCAGCTGCTTTACCATTAGAGAAGGAGCCTCTGGTATCTTTTACAAAGAGGCTGGGTGGATGCTACAGCTGCTCTGGACATGTTAGCATAGAGACACAACTTTACTCTTTGCCTTCATTTTACCTTCACCACATAAAATAAAGAAATGATGCCCCATACCTAAGTGCCATACCAAACATTAAAAGGGGAAATGACAGGCTTCACAGGCAAAGAACCTTCATTACTCATTAGGTGGAGATCAGGGTGGATTTCAGTCATTCTGGACATGGTGGTGAAAAGAAAAATCCAAACAACTCTGCTGAGACTTCAACCCCAATTGGTTTTTATGCCATCATAATATAATTTTATGGTAGAGGCTGAAATTACACGTGTTATAACTAGTGTTTCATTATACCATGAAAAAATTTGAAGAGAAAACTAGCAAATTTTTATTACCACCTTTAATTACAACTACAGAGAATTCAGGAGTATGACCACCCAGCATCAGATAGACAGAGCAGTTCACACTACAATATATAACTATGAGTATCTGTTTCATTCATATACAACATATTAACCAATGTGAGTATGATATAGGAAAGTCTGGAACACTGGTGCATACCAAAAATTATGGGACTGTTCACACATAAATGCAGGGCTATATCTTTGAGATAGACTGCCTTATTCATGAAATTGTATTTGGTTTTCTGGTACCAGACGAAGAGCTGTAATAAATTTCCAGTTATTAATCATGTAAGCCCAATTTTTATCTTTTTCCTTATACAGTCAACTCTCGATTATCCGGGCTAATGGTGGGGATGGAAGTCACGGTTAATCGAAAACCCGGTTAAGCCAAATTTTATTATACGGGCTGGACGACTGTGAAGGGTCGGAGTTCGAGTCCCGGTAGGGTCAAGAATTTTAACTTCTCCAAATCGTCCAGACCGGCTCTGGGGTCCATCCAACCTCCTATCCAATGGGTACCGGGGGCTCTTTCCCCGGGGGTAAAGCGGCCGGGGCGTGAAGCTGACCACTCACCTCCAACTAGTGCCGAGGTCAAGAAAATTTGGATCTATACATCCACTCCCCCACACGCCTTAATGGCGTAGGGCTTAATTCGTTGAGCAGAGGAACAACTTTACCTTTTACCTTTTAATACCTTCATAATACTATAGACCTACCTGTATTTAAATTTATTCATCCTCATTTCTATGTCATCTCATGGCCTATTTAATACTTTCTTTACATTACACTCAGTATGAATTAGTTATTTCAATCACTGTTCAACAACATCCAGCACTTTTTACGGTCACACTTAACACTTAAAATAATTTAATACTGTCTTTTGCTTTTTCGCGGCATTTTCCTTTTTACGGATATCCGTACGAAGCCTACGTAATATTAGCTTGTCACTTAATAAACTGTCCTCTTCACTCTCAAGATAGTCTAGTAAGGATTCCAAATGATTAAGCGCAGCACCATGTGATACTTTCTTACTGGCAACACTGTCCACCTCTTCCTCATTCTCACTTTCTTCCCGCTCTTCTGGCTGCACCCCCATTGAAGTTACGATTTCGTCACTGCTTAACATTTCGAAGCCCGGTTCACACGAGTCACAGTTAAACCACTCTCTTATATTTTCCTCGTTGACTTCTTCACCACCATGAACTTGGTTAGCCACTTTTGTCAATTTTATGGCTATCTCATTTTCACTGAATCCAGTGAATCCATGGATTTCGTCATCTTCATTAGTGATGAAAGGCATCAGTTTCTTCCATGAATTTTTCAATACAGATGGCTTTACTGTATCCCACGCTGTTGAAATCTCGTATATGGCATCTAATACTGAAAAGGACTTCCAGAAACACGTCAGATCATTGCCTTCATCGATGTACTTTTGTAGCAAATTTGATCTGTAGATTCTCTTCATACTTGAGATAACTCCTTGATCCATTGGTTGGATAAGTGCGGTAACATTAGCGGGAAAATATTTCACAAAAATATTTCCATCATCTGACCTCAGGAGACTTTCGTTAGGATGTGAGGGCGCATTGTCAATGAGGAGCACAGCTTTCTCAGGTAGGCCTTGGGATTTTAGATGGTCACGAACTTGAGGCACGAATTTAAAATCAAACCATTCTTTAAATATCGCTCTATTCATCCAAGCTACTTTCTGGTTAAAATAATGGATAGGCAGACTTGAAGCTACTGTTCCTTTAAAAGAGCGTGGTCTTTTCGCTTTGCCGATAACTACTGGTATTAGTTTGTGTGTTCCTGATGCATTAGAACAGCACAAGACTGTCAATCTCTCCTTACTGGATTTGTGACCTGGAGCCTGTCTTTCATTTTGAAATGCCAATGTTCTGGTTGGCAAGCATTTCCAATAAAGACCCGTTTCATCGGCATTATAGATTTGTTCTGGCAGCAGATTTTCACTTTTCACAAAACTATCAAAATTGGTGCAAAATTGATCTGATGCTGACAAGTCCCCTGACAATTTCTCACCTTGAATACTGATTTCTCGTATTCCATGACGCTGCTTGAAACGTGTTAGCCAACCGGAAGAAGCGTCAAAACTCCCTTCTAGTTCAAGTGCTTCGAAAAAATATTTAGCTTGTTTAGCACAAACTGGTCCTGTTATTGTTGTTCCCTGTGCCCTTAGTTGATTAAACCAGGTCAGCATCGCTTTGTCGAGATCATCGTATGTTGATTTCTTCATGGTTTTTCTCTTCTTCATTCCGCTTGAATTAGAAGACGAAGCAAAGGAAATTAACTCATTCTTTTGTTTTTTCAAATCACGAACAGTTTGTTCTCCAATACCGTATTGCATTGCTAATTGTTTAACTACAGCTCCTTTTTCCAGCTGATTGATAATTTCAAGTTTCTGTTGAATACTTAACACAACACGCTTCCTTTTAAACCCCGACATTTTGCTAACGCACTTGAAGATCTATATTAAGAAACTGATACTTACTTTCACAATGCACTCTCACACTGAGATGGTACCGTTAAATAACCTGGGGCGGTGTATTTGTCCTTGAAACTTTCCAAAAATTCTTGCATTCTTTCACCCCCACCCTAGAACATTGTGTTCGCATAACGGGACGAAATAATGCAGAGCTCGGTTCACACTAGTGCGAAAATAGTGTTAAACTCACCATGTGAAACAAAAGTGAATGAATATTAAACAACATATAAACTTAAAAAAAAAAGCCCCGGTTAAGCCGCAAACCGGTTAATCCGCCCCCGGATAATCGAGAGTTGACTGTACTACATACATGAAGTATAATACAGGGAGGCGCAAAGAGATGGGAACTTTTGAATATGATGGTGGGCGCAGTGTGAGGGGAGGAGAAATGTGGGGAGGGTGGTAAGTTGTAGAGTAGCACCGGAGGTTTAATAGCCATGGAACAGTGGAACGTTCAAGAACGCGTAGTAGCCGTGCGGGCTTATTATCGAAACGGCGACAGTTTGGTTGAGGCCTTACGGGAGTTTAGGCGGCATTTCAACCTTGCCCCTCGTGTCCACACTCCATCTAAACATGCAATTCAAACGTGGGTTCAAAATTTCGAAGAGACTGGTTCAGTGGGAAAGAGAAAATCTTCTGGACGTCCACGAAGTGCTCGGACTCCGGAAAATGTTGAAGCCGTGCAAGCCTCCGTCTTGAGAAGTCCACATCGCTCAGTACGAAAAGTCGCAGCGGCATTGACTGTAAGTCGTCGGTCTGTTCAGAGAATACTCCATGAACTCAAGTTTAATCCCTATAAACTGCAACTGGTGCCAGAACTGAAACCTAATGACCATTTGTTCAGCCGACAGTTTTGTGAAGCAATAATGAACAAAATTGACGAGAATCCTGATTTCATTGAAAATCTGTGGATGTCAGACGAAGCTCATTTTCATTTAAATGGGTATGTGAACAAGCAGAACTGTTGGTACTGGGCACAAGAAAATCCTGCCGTTCTTCATCAACGACCTCTACACATCCCCAAGGTCACTGTATGGTGTGCAGTTTCGGCTCGAAGGGTGATAGGACCATATTTTTTTGAAGACATCGCAAGAAACACGGTGACAGTAACTTCTGAGCATTATGTAACCATGCTTGAGATGTTTCTTGCTGCAAGAATTCACAGTGTACCGAACACTGATATCAAAAACACTTGGTTTCAACAGGATGGGGCGACCGCACATACCGCACGAGTGTCAATGGCAGCGGTCAGGCGTCTGTTCAGTAACCACGTAATTTCTGGAAACGGTGACATTGCTTGGCCACCTCGTTCCCCAGACTTATCAGTGTGTGATTTTTATTTATGGGGTTATTTGAAGAGCGTGGTCTACAATACACGCCCCACAACCCTAGCCGAACTTAGAAGACGAATAACAGAAGAGATCGCAGCAATACAACCCGACACTTTGCTCCGAGCCATGCGCAATTTTCAGGATCGACTTGCAGAGTGTATTCGGCAAGATGGACATCATCTTCACGATGTTATTTTCAAACTGTGAGTTATTTTTAAATTTCCAATGTAGAAGTGCACATTGAGTACCTTGATTAAATTAAAAAAAAAATTGTATTTTTTCTCAATTTTCAAGAGTTCCCACTTTTTTGCGCCACCCTGTAGAATGTCGTGGTTAGAACCACTGCTTCATATATGGGAGGTTCTTGGTTTTGTAACCGCACCATGCAGGGACCTCGGGAATATTTTTCATTTACATTGTTTATTACCATGCACTACATGGACACGAAATGTAGTACTGTTAACAATAGACGATACACAATTGACTCCAGCACCAGCAGACGCCAAGGACAACATCCGGTCTTTCTGAGGGACAAGCAAACTGCAGGTCTCTTGAAAACCCAGAACGGAGCAGGAAGTATCCCGCTGTGTTCTCTGGGGATTTCAATGCTTAACTGCGGGGGTTCGAGCCTTTGAAAATTTGAGATTTGACAAGAAACGAGTCGCAATAATTTTCGAAGGGGCGTACCGAGCGATTGTTAGCGTACCTCCATTTATTTAAGAGCTGTCAGAGGGACCGTGTTGTACTTAGGCCCAAATTAACATGGATCTGGATAGGGATTGGCTGAATGCAAATGAGAGAAACACCCAAATTTTAGGTTCAGCCAATCAGCAAAATTTCAGAGGAGAGGAATCCAGGCGTTCCCGGAACCGTCGGGACTTCTGCCTCTCCAGAACAGTCAGTCATCAGAACGAAATAAGAGTAGTCGGTCAGTACAAGGCAATAAGAGCAGTCAGTTATTGCAAGTTATTACAAGTTATTACTAGTTATTACAAGTCAGTACGAGTAATCAGAAGGAAATAGCGGGAGTCATTAGCCCAAGGGAATAACCGGAATCAGTAGTAACCTACTGGACGTTAAATCGGTGTTGGCCCTAGTCCAGTGTACAATTCAAAGTGCTATAGCCGGGTAATAGGTAATTGTAGTGAACATCCACAATAAACGCAACATTATTGGTGAAGTGCGAGTTGTTTTCAGTGTTCTCTCTCTCCTTGTGTGAGCAAGGCCCAGAAGTCGCCCTGAGACAGAATCTCGTCCTATCGTCTGAGCAGTCGGAACCCCAAACGCCCGCCTATCCAAATCCCCACCTTGTTTTCCCCGTTCCAAACTCGTGGATTTCACCCAAGTCCACTGGCGCCCATACAAATTCAAATTCAGAGCAATCCCACACCCTAATCTGAACCAGAAAGCAACAGGAAGCGGCGGATGCAAGTGGAGACCACAAAGGGGCGAACGTGAATGACAGGTATAAGGGACTACCAACTCGTGAGGCTTGAAGTCTCACTGAGCGGTAAGGACGAAGAAAAGGAGGGCGGTAAGAGTTTTTCATTATTTTAGTTAGTCCCTACAGGCAAATTATGGGTAATTGCTTAAAACAGGCATTAAAATAGTCATTACTTTATATATCCTTCCAATTTCATCCTCCACAGTCATACTAAAACTGAACGTTACATAACCCACAAAATTCACATAGTGTTGTTAACCAAAGAACAATCAGATTACTCTGCAGTTTCATCTGCTGTGTCTCCAGTTGTTTGGTCAGACAGTTACTTCTTTGATCTACTAGTGTGTTTTTGTTATCATGGTTTATAATTCCACATAAGTTTAGGGATTCCATCATACACCATCCTCTCCAGCTGTCCTCCCATTTCTTCTGCACTCAACTACTTTATCAACTGAATTAAATAGTTGTAGTTTTTGTTGAATATTCTAATTTCTTTATTGTACAGAAGAGTAGAGCTAGCTACTTATCCCAGGAATCATATTTCCGAGTTGTTATTCTGTTTTGAATATTATTTAATATCTCTATTTCATGTTTTCACTGCATATCCTTTTATGAAATTCTTCCTCAGATAATATTCTGGTTCATGCATATTCGTATGTATGTAAAATCTAATTAGTATCCTGTGTCTACGTTCTTGCTGAAATCTCAGTCATTATCCATAAAGGAAGACGCCTCTCTCCATTTACTACAAGGCACATCTAAGAAAGTCAAAAGTATTGACATTCATTCTAATTTCACCATTTAATAATTATGATAATGAAGTGCCCACTTTTGTCTAAAATTAGGTATGAATATGGAAACTGTATCCTGTCAGGTACATCACTGCCCCTTCTATGAAGTATACATATTACACTGTTCTGTTTACAATAACTGGACTAGAAATGAGCTGTAGTCCAGCGTAGAGTGAGCTCAGGATCCCAACGGTGAAGTGAGATGCCCCTAAAGACCTCATATGTACTGACAGCAAAGGAACTGCCATGCTGCATGCAAACAGATCCTAGAAATAAACCATACAAGTTTTTCAAAATAAGATAAGAATATACAAACATTTCAAAGTAATTGAAATGTTTTGTGCAAGGACATATAACCATTTTAATTTTAACTCTTTGACAAGAAAGTGTGGATCTCATGTGAATAATTCTCAAACTACCTGGAACCCTGAATTTCTATGAAGGAGTTCCATGGGATAATAGGGTTTGATGTGCGTTATTGTTGGCAATAACACTGTTTACATTAGTGTAAGTATAAAATTGTGATCATGTGTATCATTGTTCTTTAAGTATTAAATGGTCATACAGCCTAACGTGTCAGGCTCTTCATCTGCAGGTGCACAAGAGAGACCTAGCTTACCAGAAAAAAAAAAGTTGAAGCACAATTTGCAGTGCTTTGTGTTTGCTACAGTTGGTATACAAGATATGCCAAATGAAGTGATGCAAGTTATGTGCTCAATTCACAGACAAATTAGGATGTGCGCTGAAGCTGAGGGTGGTCATTTTGAACAGTTACTGTAAGCTACACAATGAGAACTTTATGCAAATACTTGTCCATCTATTTTATTTTTAAAGTTCTGTTAATAATAAATCCATAACTTGAGAAAATGACCTATGTTCATATCATATCTTTATTATATTCTAGTAGATCCAGTTACAGGTATAAAACCATTGGATATAGAACATGTCAAAACAGAAAAATGAGATATGCTCCAACAGCTGTTGAAACAATTTAAAAATATAAAAATATATATAACAAAGTTAGCAAGATGCTGGCGGGGCAAATCACAACAAGATTCACAAGCAGAACAAAGTCCTATATCTAAATTAACAATGTTGTGCTAGGGATCAATTAATATGAATCATGTCAAACATAAAAATAATACAATATAAGTCATATACTAGCCATACAGCATTTGTGACTTCAAATAACCTTGCGTGTAAGTTCCTTAAGTTCAGATATCAAGTCACGAATCACCCTGCAGACAAACTTTTAGTGTTGCCCCTTAACACTTGTGAATGTTATTTCCATATGCGTTGAGAACTGCCCCTGCTTGATATCTCTTAATATCCTGTATTCTACTGTATTGTAAAAATGGGGCAGTTCATATACCGGTAATTCTTTTTTTTTTTTTCCGACTAAGTTACTCTTTTTCTTTAATTCGTTTAGTGGGGGCTGGAGTCCAACTGGGTCCAACCGGCGCAGCGGCCACTGATTGGCCTACTGTACCTACCCTGGGTATGATGATGGAGAATTTGGTGGAATGAAAATTGGCAGGGGAAATCTAAGTACTCGGAGAACCCCCCCCCCCAGCGCCACTTTATCCACCACAAATCCCACTTCACCAGATCCCGGGATCGAACCCAGGCCGCCGCGGTTGGAAGCCAACGACTAATCGCTTGAGCTATGGCGTGGCCCAAGTTGCTCTTTTAGTTACTACAGTTCCGAACTAGCTCTATCTCCGACTACATGTATACGAAACATAGCCATTAATTTAAGCTTATCAGTAGCATTTTCTTTAAAACGGAAGTAAGTCCTGTTCCTGATTAATTTCGGAATCCAAACTGATTAAATACGCATCCGAATTTACTATTTCCATTATGCAATAAATATGAACTCAAAAACTTACCACCAACGCTATCAAATATAACAACCTCACTTTTTTGGCGCCAAACATATTCTACGCTGTCATAACACATGATACTTTAGAATCAGAAGACGAATTATATAGCATGATTACGCAAATTTCTCATAGCATATTATTCTTTCCTTATCACATAATAATCATATTCATATCTTCATGATTTCATAACATTCCCGCACCCCACTTTTTCTACTCCTGACCTTCCCAGAAAAATGCACATATTACTACCATTATTACTAATCGGTCACGATTGAGAGCGCTGAGAGGACCGTAAACAACACACACACTTTTTATTTCGTTCCCGCCCTTGTCCCATGGACAGATACCGACATACCGTAAGATGCTTTGCTTCAGTTGGCAGCAGTGTACCAGTTACAGCAAGTTATGATTAGGTTATATAGTTGTTGTGAGTTAAATATTTTGTCGCAGAAGGAAAGCTGTACACATTCAGAAATATGGAACCATTTCTGCCATCTGAAATTGCAAGACTTGTCTACGGTAATAAGACTTGGTTACCTGGTTGAGTAAAGCACATTAATCGAGTTGCATGCCAAGTACCTAACCTAAGAGGTGGGAAATATTTATTATGTTTGTCGTATTTGAGTACTCAGCTATTACTTTTATAGGTTATTTGGAGGAATTAAAATGTGACAATGCTGCCCAGAGTTTCCTCGAGCATTGTTCACATCTGTCAGAGTGCCTGGCTGTTAACAAGAAAGGCAAGGGTTTCAACACAAGACCTGCAGGTTACTCTCTGACAGACATTCTGGATGAGTACTGCGAGATTCGCAGCATGGGTGAGTGTTGGCCAGTATCATAAATGGATTCGGGATGTCGTGAATTCTAGACTTTTCCCAGATTATGTAGAAGTTTATTTCAACTGCATACAAGTATCTTCTGCTTTGTAGGATGCAGCATTCTCTCCATGGTACTAATATGACACTGTCGCTCGTTTTCCTGCGGCCAGTCTTGCCCCTACAAACCATTTTCCTAGAGCTTGTAAACATAGTGACAGCTAGCTTGCTTTCCGTGTTGCTAAAGAACCACTCCCTGTAATCTCAGTTGACACCACAAAAGACCCACTTATAATCTTGTCATGTGCCCTTGTTGAACTTTATCTGCAGAACTAGGATTTGTATATTTTTTCCATGTGGCTTGGTCCTCCAGTGATTTGGGTATTCTAAAGAATATGTATAACTTTGATGGAAGTTGTACCAGCCAACAATGGCGGTGGTTGTCTACAGTAAATATAAAATAGAAGCTGATAAATCTGACAGGCTCATGTCAAACTATCCTTTTCAAAAGATATCCTGAAATGGTGGGGGGAAAAAAAGCATTTCTTTTGTTTGCGCTTTCAGTAGTAAATGTTCAGATGTTACATAATGAGAGTAATGAAAAAATTTGGCTCCACTTCTGTGAAGAAGATGCTAATGGATACCCAGTGATGTAGGGACAAAAGTGACTGCCAATTCTGTAACCACCACGAGCAGAGATGTGGGATGAGATCATTTCCCATGCAGAATTACATATACACAGTCTAAATCAAAAAGCAATTCCTGGTGAAGATGTGAGGTGTGAGTGGATGGAAACAAGTACAAAACCAGGAAAACATAAGTGCAGTTCACTTCTTCAAGTGTACTGCAAGAAGTATGATCTGAGCCTCTCTTTATAGAATATTTTGAAAAATATCATTCAGAGACAGACTACTGGAAGTAAAGTGAATATAAGTAAGCATAAAATGCAGTTCAGATGAAAATGTTTACACTTGTTTATGAGGTATTCTCCATGTATTTGTGTGTATGTGAAGACAACTGAAAATTAGCTTGAACATATGCTTGTGTTTTGAAATTCAGCAAATTGTCATAAATAAACTCCCCATAAATCTACTCATAGGTAATCTTAAACATTTAAGTTCTTCAGGATGCTAAGAAGTAGCCTTTAAATCCAAAACACTGAAAAAAAAATGAGAATTTTTTTTCAACAGTGTGATCCTATGAAATAATATTCATATAATTTTAGTTGCTGAAGCAGGTCTTGCTGTTGCGCTCACATGGAATGTGTTCTTTTGCAAAATGCATTAAATGAATGGTTAATGGTAGATTGTCTTTCTTTGTCCACCTATATGTTGTGCTTCCAAACTAGTGATTGATTCTTGACAGAAATATGGCAGTGGGAAGTCTACACTGAAAGTTCTCCAATAAATTTGATTTGGGTTTGTACTGATGCAAGATAACAACTACTTTGCATAATGCTCAGATTGAGTGTCTTCCAGATTTAAAAAGATTTTGTCACACAAAATATTGGTACATGAAAAAACAGAAATCTCATTAAAATATACAACATTTATTTGAAACATTATTCATTCATTCATTCATTCATTCATGTTTATTCATCCTGTAGATCAGATTACATTGATATAGGACATGTCACATAATATAAAATATAAAATTAACAAAATACAGTAGATTCTAAACCAGTAAACACACAAGATATATAATGATTATTTACATCTAGCATGTATCATAATCTAATATATCATAGTTTATCCATACATTCATATATTCAATATTTACTATACATAGATCGGACCACACAGGTGTAGAACATGCCACAAGTAATAAATTATAAAATTAGCAAGGTGCGAGAATTCATAACAAATAAAATCACAAAATATATAATGACTATCATATCTAGCATATATCAATATGCAGCATAACAGAATTTATCCAAACATTCATTCACTCAAATAAATTATAAATGCAATAAAATCAAAACCAATAAACACGCAAATATGCAATGAGTATTTACATCAAACATGTAACAATTCCAATAATTCAGAATTATCTATACATTAATTAATTCATATTTACCCATACCACAGATCAGACTACATTAAAGTAGGCCATATCTCATGAAACGAGTTATAAAACCAACAAAATTACAACAAATTATTTATCAGGTGGATGATATTTAATGAAAGAAAAGGTAAACTTATTTCTAATTGCAATGTGATTGGCTTGGCAACAGTGCATTTTATCTAGAATAAATGAATATCAAGGCCAATGAGGCATAAGAATATTAAAGAACAGATTCAGATGATATATGTACTGAGGTGGATTATGCTTTTCCAGTCTTGTCTGATTGTAGTCTGGTGTTTTAGTTGCAGAATATTTACAGAAACTTCCAAAAAATTCGGTGGAGAAGCTACAACACTGTGATAGTTTGATTGGCCAGCTGCGATATCTGATGGATGCAACCCAATCAGGACGGACATTGCTTGTCAGTATCAAGATACCACCACAGACAAATGAGGTGACAGCATGCAGTATTTCTTTGTATTATTTGTAGTGTGAATTTAATTGAATTCCCATCACACCCTGCATCTTGAGCAATGTGTGTACATTGCATTACTATTCATTTTTGTCATAGTAGGAAGAAATCCACTGCAATTTAGTGAATGTTGTATTTTGTAAAGCTAAAGTGATCTCTGTGCTTAATTAAGAACCACATAATGAAAATATATGGGGGAATGAAGGTATAGATCCACACATTTTTAACTTCAGCACTAGGCGTAACTGAGAGATCAACTTCCAGCCTCACTCACTTTGTCCTGGGGCAGAGGTGGGAGGCTCTGTAGGCCATAGAGCTAATCTGGCTATGACGAGGAAGAGAAAAACCTCTGCCCCATCCTGGAATCAGACCCTGGTCATCCAGTCTATAGCCAATCAGTGTACATCCAAGGTGGCTTGTTTGAAATCAGTTTTGTTTAATTGAATTTACTCTGATTTCAGGCTACTTTGTGTTGATTTAGATTAGCATAATATAGATGTTTTTGTAGCTTCTAATAATATAGAGGGCCCCAAGAACACTATACACACCATTCTGTGGCCATTTTCACCACCAAGCTGAAATATTTCCCCATTCTTGCTTTGTTGTCACATCAGAAAAGCTGCAAATTTCTGTGCTTTTCATTCACACTGCAAGAAATATGCAGATGTTATGACATATCTGCAGTCCTCTGTTTTCGAGCATGAGCTATTTACGCTAGAAGAACATGCAGTTATTAGTTTATGTTAACAGTGAATTGGACTTTAGGTTGATAGCAACATGGAATCTTTTCAGAATTTTTGGTTTTTGGATGTGATGTTACATTATTTTTGTAAATCGTCATATAAAAACTATGTAACAATGTTTAAAATACATCCAGTTAAAATGTTCCTTAATGTTGGTTAGCACAACTTGTGTTTTTGGTTGGTTATCCCCTTGCCATTTTGGTAGAAATTAAAGCAACAAACAAGAGATGATAATGTGTTTCTGCTGAACAGGAGTCATCTGCCCAAGGAAACAGTAAGAATGTGACCTCTGCCATATCCACTCAGAACCGAATAAGGATAATTGGTTGTGCGGACAGAGTAAAGCGAACTGCTGTAGTTTCAAAACGAGACATGAAACAGCAAGGTTCAAAGGATGGAAATGAAAGAGCAGCTTCTGTATCTAGTAAGTATTTGCATATGTCAGTTGATTATTTTCTTGCTTTGCATTGTTTTGTTACTGTATGATGCTGCTGAACAAGTTGGTGCAACTGGTAATGCTTATGACTTGTATTTGAAAGGTGCGTTCCTTGAAACTTTCTGGGACATTGGTTCTTGTGACTGGGGGGTTTTGTGGTATTCCTCAGGGCCTCTACAGAGATGCCTTGATAGTGCCTTCAAATTAAGCCACAACCACTTCCATCCACACCCTGTTGAGTTGAATATTGACATTCGTCCAAACGCTTGATGCTGTACAGTTTGAGTTAGTGACAGTGTGGTTAGATAAACTACAAATAAATACAAAATATGTGATACTGTAGCAGTTACAGATATTGTGTTGCGTGAATTTAAATATGATAGAATGGTTATGAGTGTTGACTGGGGAAATTTTGGGTGGAGGTGTTTGTTTGCCAGTTTAAGATACTGCCCTACCTTTCAGCTGGAAGGAATGAGTATAGTCACAAAAGCCATAAAAATAGCTGGTCCCTGGCTGGAATTTGCACTAGATACCTCCTGAATGTCAACTGTGTTGAACATTTCTTAATTACTGATGACTGGTTTGAAGTAGCCACTGTTTTATGCACTAAGTTTTAAGTGACGTGTATGCATTACTGTTTACATGGACTTTGCATCATGTTCTTTTCCAGAGTGTACTTCAGTGCCACACAGACCAGTTGTGTTGCTTCATCATCTTCATCCTTCCTTCTGTTAGTTATAGTTGGCTTGGTGTGGATATTACATGTCAGAATCTTTCCATCTTCTGGACATGTGTACCCACCCAAATCTCTTCCAGATGGTTTATATTTCATAATTTTCTGGGAGGTCCTTTCAGAGTTTGTTTCTTTAACATATTCCCCTGAATTTTGTGTATAGTATATTATAAGCTATGTTACTGGTGAAAATGTTAATGTTGTTTTTTTATTTTTCAGTTAAGCACAGGGACAACTCTCCCTTTTATATATTTTTTGTGTTTTAAATTATTGTAACATGCTGTCCATCTTATGGACTAAATTGACATTGTTTTATCTTCATTTTTTTTTGTTGTTGCAGGTAGTGTGTTATCAGTTGAAGCTACTCCTTTAGAAAACCTTCCTGGAATTTCAGCACTTGTGGATAACCAAAGTGTGCTTACAGAAAAAGAAAGTAGAAAAACTCAAACTATCTCTCTGAATGGCCATACTGCAGTATGTGAACACATTGATCATGATTTCTGTTTGGGGACTAGCCCCTTGAAGCCCACTACGGGCTTTTCTAAGCAGTACAAAAAATGTTGTGATAATAGGAGGACCTTAAAACATCAGCACCATTCACCTAGCACAAAGACCAGCCCTGCAGTAGGTGGTAAAAACAATAGCCAAATTGAAGATGGATCAGCTTGCTTTTCAACACCAAAACAAAAGTAGTGAGTATGGTATTGTCATAATTTTTCTACAGTGGTGTACTATTTGATGTAGTTGTCTGCACAGTTTCTCACCTGTCTTACATTAATGAAATTGTAAATTATTTAACTTTAGTGGAACTTTTCTCTCTTTACTATCTGTGGAATATTGACAAGGGTTTGACAAAAGAATGGAAATATTACAAATACTGTACATATTTCATTATTAATATGGTGTTGGACCACCATTTCCCTTCAGTACAGCAACAGTCCTTGGGATGGACTCATACAAGTTTTGAACAGTGTGTCATGGAGCTTTATACCATTCTTGAGGGACTTCTTCAAGTTGCTATAGAGATGTTATAGGTGGGAATCTGTTCCTCACTCCAGTCTCCAAAACTGACGAGTGTTTCAGTAATGTTCATATCTGGTGATTGTGCTGGTTAGGGAAAATGCCAAAGTTCACCTTCATGCTATTGAAACCATGACTGAACAGTTCCAGCTGTGTGAATTGGGGCATTGTCATCTTTGAAAACAGCATCGTTTCGAAATAACATCTGGGTCATGGGATGCACCTGATTACCCAACCATTTCATGTACTCCCTTGCAGTAATTCGGTCATGGGACCAACAGAATGCCACGATATTGCTGCCCAGACTGCCATGAAACCTCCCCTGTGTTTCACTGTTTGAACCAGGCATGCATTCTGGCTTGTAGGCTTCCATGGGTGTTTTCCAAACGTAAGTCCTTCCTGATGTAGGCTCAGGATAGGGACCAGTGAAGGGCTCTTGTGAACATGGTAATGAACCTTCAGGTTCCATAAAATTCTGGGAAGTTCTTGAGTAGCTGCACAATTGGCAATTGCTCATCTCCGTGAGTGAGAGGATAGAGAGCAGTACTGTTTTGGAATCTCACATAGGTTCATAGCTTTGGAAAACCTAGACACTGAGGTGGATATTAATAGAGCTTGGGGAAACTATTATAGATAATATCGAAATTTCAACTAGAGAGAATCTAGGCTATTATGAATTGAAGAAGCGTGAGCTGTGGTTTGACGAAGGATTCAGAATTATTAGATCAAAGAAAACAAACCAAATTGCAGTGGTTAGAGGATCCAAATGAAATAAATGTGGATAATCTGAACAATATAAGATGTGTAGCCAGCAGACATTTCAGAAATAAAACAGGAAATAGCAGAAAGATGAAATTAATGAGCTTGCAACGAACATTGAGAACAAGAACATTAGAGAGGGGAATAAATGAATTTAAGAGAGGTTGCTAACCTAGAAGTAACTTAGTGAATGATGAGAATGGTGATCTGCTTGCAAATTCCTACAACATCTTGAATAGGTTGAAGAACTACTTCTCTCAGTTATTGAATGTACATAGGGTCAGTGCTGTTAGGCTGATGGAAACACATATAGTTGAGCCATTAGTACCCGATCCTAGTCCATTTGAGGTTGGAATTGCTATTGTAAAGTTGAAAAGGTATAAATCACCAAGTAGTGATCACATTCTGGCAGAACTGATTTAAGCAGAGGGTGAAACATTATGGTCTGAGATCCATGAACTCTTTAATTGTGTGTAGAATAAGGAAGAATTGCCTAATCAGTGGAAGGAGTCTGTTATCATACCAATTCTTAAGAAGGGTGATAAAACTGATTGTAGTAATTGTGGGATATCACTGCTATCAACTTCATGCAAATTTTATCCAGTGTCTTCCCCTGAAGTTTAAGTCGTTACATAGATGAAATTATTGGGGAATATCAATGTGGGTTTCGACATAACAGACAACCACTAATCAGTTTTTTTCTCTCTGTTTCATTTGTCAGATACTGGAGAAGAAAATAGTAGTACAGGGAGAGAGTATATCAGCTATTCATAGAGTTCAAGAAAGCCTATCATTCAGTTAGGAAGGGTCAGTTAATCTGGATTTGTGTTCAGAATGCATACACTTTCCAGTCTATCCATGGAACTATTTGCATATTTAGATAATAAATTATTTAAACTTTCCTTTTCAGCAAAAGACAGGTTCTGATTTCCATAGCTCAAAATCCAAACATCTTCAGCATATTTAGAATTGGGTCTATGGAAGTTAGTTTTATCAATCTGAATTCTCATGGGATTTAGCTGGCCTCTCTCCACATTGCTGTTAGAACTACCTATGTTCTCATACTCCTTTACAACATCGACTATTAATTTTCCTGGCATTTGGTTAATAAGCTCTTCCTTCTGTTTATCTTTACAATAACAGGTACTATCTGCACTTTGAATTAAGGTCACATGCCCTAATTCTCCGTTTTTCTCAATTGCATACAAGGACTGTATCTTCTTGTCTTCTTTGTAGATAGTGCTGGGACACTTGAAGTTGTACGGTACGGGACTGTTTGCTGATGGTTTAATCTTCTGTTAGGGGTGGCTGGTAGCTTATATGTGAAGATCTCACTTATATCCTCAGAAGATTACCTGCCACAGTGAAGACACTCAAGTGAACACGAAAGGGGCACACACCTAAATGAAACACCAGTATAATTAATTTGTTGTTCACTGTTGTAAATATCAAATGTAAGATTGACACTCAGCAAAAATCTTAAATTTTGCCTTATAACATTATGTTTCAGCAACTGCAGCTCAAAGAGGAAAAGCACTAACCCAACGCCAGTGAAAGGCATCCACACACCAATGAAGAGTCAGACTCCATGTAAAAAAGTAAGACGTTCACACTCTGATGATAATGAATCCAGTGAAAACCTTGACTTTTCAGTAAGTTGGTGTTACAAAAGTAATCCTCTTGTTTATAGCTGGTAAACATTGAAAATGTAAATGATTGTTTTTTTGTGCTATACAGAAAATTTAATATTATCCATGGTATTTAAAGAAGTAAGGGACAGAAATGAATAAAACTGCAACTTTTGAAATGTGATCTTTCTCTCTGTGAATATAAAATAAATGACACCGTGTGAATTCAGTGTGTAATAATGAATTCAGCACAATTGCCATTTAATGTTTATTAAAGATTTTTCATAATTTAGCGTTAGTTTCTGTGTCATGGCCCAGTCACTCGAGTTTTAAATTCCCTCCACTTAAGGTTTTCCACAGTTAAGTGTTACTAATCCTTGGTTCCCTAGAGAAATCTTCAATATACAGTAGTTGCACTATATGTTGCCTGACAAAGATGAGTGGGTCTGTTTTTGTTTAAAATTTCTGCCTATATATACTTCAGTATTATAAAAAGTTTTGGCTAAATAATCACAGTAGTCAGACATATCTAATTTTTCTGTATGGGCCCTTGCTCTTCAATACATTTGGTCCAGCAGTCGACAAGATTCATAATTCCAATGGCATAAAATTTACTCTTGCATGTAGATGTTTTACTATTGCACCATTCATTTTTATGTCATAATTGGGTATTTTCCAACCTTAGAAGGTGTCCATCAGTGCCTTAGAAAGTGAAAATTGGATAGTGCTGAGTGACAGTGGTATGGTGGATGTCAGAGAATTTCAAATTTTGTGTTGTTTTGACAGTATGAGGAGCCACAGTAGGGCGACCACGTAGCAGAAGAAAATATTTGAAAGCAGTGTGCAAGGTGTTGATTATTTCGAGGCTTCAGTCTGTTAAGCAGCATGTCAGCATATTTAAAACTAGTTATCATTGTTCTGTCTTGAAAATAATTTGGTATGGGACAAAACAGAACAGAAAACAGCATGTTGTCTGGAGAGGAAGCATGCTTATTGTAATGTCTCTCTCTTAATCTGAAGCTTGCTGTGTTTGACCCCGATCTGTTATCAAGTCCCTGTGTGATTCAGATGATGATCATCATCATGATAGTACTGTGAATGTTCTCTGTAATTTCCAAATGCATATATTTGCGCAACTCTGTCAGTTGCTTCAGGACCTGTTTGGCACGGGCTCTGCAGTATCTCCTCTCATCATGAATGATGTCCCTTCCAATTGCATTGTCATCACTGCTGTTGCATTGGTTATCCCAGATATACTGAGTGATCTATTCCTTCATCTGAACACATTACAATTGATGGCTCCCAGAAAACACATCATCCATGATCCTTTTAGTTTTTTCACCTGTTCATGAAGTTTCCTCTGGCTTGTACAGTTATCACCATACAGAACTGTCATTCTTCTATAAATTTCACTAGTTTTTACACCCACTGGCCATAGAAAATCAGATCAGAGATTGTCATTCACTTTTATTGCATTGTATCAGTGGTGCAGCCATGTTAAATTTGTAACAGTAAGATGGATTTGTGTCAAAATAGACTTTAAAATACATCAATAGATGTTATATTTATAAAATGCTTGAAGATTTTGAGAAGTGTCTGTAAAAATAAACCAGTAAAAAGCAAAGCTATCAGTGTAACAGGCCATGGAGGAGGTCAGTAGAGTTGTGAGATGTCAAGGCTTCAACATTATTTATAGGCAGTTGGCTCTCAAATGGTGTTGAGGTGTCAGCCTCACATGCTACTCACCCCTTTGCCCCCAGGAGGATTCCTCGTACCCATTTCTGTTAGAGGCTGAGTCGACCTGGGGACTGTAGTGTAACTGGAAGGATTAGGTAAATTGAAAAGTCCAATGACCTCATCAGAAATCGAACCCACAGCCTTCTGGCTTTTAGCATAGTACCTCAACCAGCTACGCTACAGCATGCTCCATAAATAAATCAGTGTAATCCCAAATTTTTTAAGCTAACAACCCAACAGGAATTCTAGGCAGCTTGTTGAAGATGGTGTTAAAATCATCTGTGGATCTCTTGAGAAGATAAATATCTGTAGAACTAAAATCCATGTTAAGGTTTATGTTGTCATCACAATGTGGCATGTTCTAAGGTAGTATATAAAGCACAATAGATCACTGTGGTCACGGTGCATAGGCCAAGAGGGCCCCCATATATGGATGGTTGCTGTAAATATAGTAAATAGCCAGTATGAGGTTGCCCTCCAGCTTAGAGATTTGGTGGGCAGCTAACAACTCCATATATTGCTAAATGCTACACAGAAACAGGAGTGGGCTATAGTATACATGTTAATGGTCCTTTGGTTTCATAAAAGTCAGGGAATTTCTTAAATAGCTGAGTGATGCCTAGGTTCTCAAGAAGAACTCTGCTCTATGGGGTGAATTTTTTGGGTGGTCATTGTCATTGTACAGGGTGGGGCGCAGAAACTTCCTTTTTTTGAAGATGCATTGTGATGGGAGGGGAGGTTGCAGAAAAGTGGGGATAGGCTTGACAGATGCAGCAGTCGCAGAAGTTTCTGTCTAATACCCCTCAGTAGGAAACATGAGGTGGACGAGTGAGCAGCGAGAATTTGCTGTCGAAGCCTATTTTTCGAACAACCATTCCTACATGGCGGTGCAGCGTGTATTCCGTACTCACTTCGGAATTAAGCCCAGAGGTCCGGTTCCCGACTGGAAATCGATTGTTTTGTGGGTAGAGAACTTTAGGACAACCGGGAGTGTGGTGAAAAAATCATCAGGACGACAGCAGACCGTTACGACGCCAGAAAATGTGGAGGCAGTTCGACAGTCGATTTTGAGATCTTTTTCCAACCAGCTCTTGAAGAAATGCATCTAGGAAATGTCTGGTTCCAACAGGATGGTGCCACGGCCCACACAGTTCGAGCTTCGATGGCAGTTTTGAGGGCAAAGTTCCCTGGACGGCTCATCTCGCTTCGAGGTGACATCCCTTGGGCAGCGCACTCACTTGATGTAACGCCCTGTGATTTTTTTTATGGGGATACCTCAAGGCACAGGTTTGTAAACATCACCCCACAAACCTGCTTCAGCTGAAGAATGTTATTCTGCAGGAAGTAGCCCAAATTCTGGTGCACATGTTGGAACGTGTAGAGGGGAACTTCAGAAAACGGTTGCATCAGTGCATAGAGAATGGTGGCCACCACCATCAAGACATTTTGTTTAAACCTACATGATTTAAAACTTTAAAGTATGTTCTTTCATTAGCTAAACATAAATTTTGTCTATTATCAATGATTTTTCTTTTATTCGCCTTCAAAAAAAGGAAGTTTCTGCGCCCCGCCCTGTATTTACAGAGATGTCTTCAAAACTTTTTTTTTGGCTCAAGAGTTCTGCAGATCATGTTAGATCTTTCACGGTTCATTGTTTCTTGATGGATCCCATTGCTTTTGTACTACAAGTGTAATAACAGACCAAAATATGAGAAGTTCCTAAATTTTATTGGTGTAATGATATGTAATGTCTGTCTTTGTGCAGGTGCTTACTCGAGCTCTGTTGGATAACAAGGAACTTCATGAGAAGATTGCAGAAAACATAAACAAGGTGATTCACAAGCCTGTCCCAGGGCAGACTTCTGAAAATATCGAAAGTGTGCCGTCACCTAGCCCAGCTGGAGAACCAGATAGTGCTGAAGCATACCCTGTGATTCCAGGGCCTAATTCAGCTGTTTCATCTTGTGATGGGATGCTACAAGAGCTTAACCAAGCCATTAAAACCATAGTGGATCAGACAGAGCAGGACCCTGTGTTTGAGAGATTTCTGGAAGAAATCATAGGTATAGTGAAAACACAATTACCACAGTGTATCTTTGAGTTTACTCTAACAGATGTACATTTTTTCCCTTCTGATTTTGTGCACATTTTCATTGGTCCACAATAATACGTTAAATTTTAATTGATTTTATGTTTCCTCAAATTTACAGTTTTCCTGAATTTTGCACTTTGTTTTTTTTAATCCTGACAATGGAAATTTAATTGATTTTACATTTACAAGTCTCTGCTTTGGAAAACTGAAAGAAACATTGACATTGTTCCTTTATTAAAATATCTGTGTATAACACAGTCCGTCAATAATACAACAAATTGTTCCTTTCTCTTCTACTTATACTTAACATAACATGTTTCAGCCTTAGATGGCCATCCTCAGGTGTCTTAATATATCAGAACTGCTACACTGCATTAATATGCAGTAAAATCATATGCTGTGATACACATAATAAAATAAATTAAATTGTTCATTAATTTGGTGAAATTCTATTCCACCTCACAAGGGGTGTCAGCCATTTGTTTAGAACTAATTGTATATGTTTCCATGTTTTGTTGGAGGGGAACATATATAATAAGTTCGAAACAAGTGAACGACACCCCTTGTGAGGTGGAATAGAATTTTACTGAAGTGGATGTTAAAAAATTTTTGTTTTAATTTACTTTATTAAGTGTACCAGAGCTTGTGATTTTACTGCATATTAATGCAGTGTATTAAGACACCTGAGGATGGCCATTTAAAGCCAAAACATGTTGTGTTAAGTATAAGTAGAAGAGAAAGGAACAAATTGTTGCATTATTGACGGACTACGTTATACATAGACGTTTTAATATGGCTTGCAACAGGATGCTTAAATACAGAATTGTTCCTTTATGTCTAAGGTTTGTTTTAGTAAAATAGGTTTTGCATATGAAAGTTTTAGAATGTCGTGTGAATACCCAACTGATCACAGATACAAGCACACTTTGATGTTCATCGTTACACTTGAGCAGCTGTGGCTATTTGTTTTGCAGTGAAACTGACTGTGAGATACCTGCATGATGCTTGGTGTTGTACATAAGTGTAGCAGTCCATTAATTCTTTATATGGGCAAAAATATGGATAATAAAGCAAAACAAAGCATTTATGACAAAATGATAAAATTGATGTTATAAGTTGATGTGCATAATGGAACACATGTCAAACTGGTGTTGCGAGAAACCATAAAGAAATTGGAATATGTTAGGCCCCATTGATCATTCTGTAAGCAGTGGAAATTTTTGAACTGGATTCAGCTCTTGCATTATGTTTCAGGCAGCCACATCATGTCACAGCCAGGGTCTGACTCATGACTTACAGTTATTTGCATCCATACGGCTTTGCAGTTGTCAGTATGTTATAAGCAGGGCCCGGATTTTGATGACATGTCATCTTTTTTTCCTTGTATCCTATGCGATGCTCTTAAATACATAAATCTCGGATATGAGATGCTGGTTACAGAAATGTAAATTTTATAGGTCATTTTTTGACATTTTTAGGTTTAAGGTCATTTTTTCATTTTGGTTGTAACTTTTTTTAAATTTTTGGTCTTTAAGGGTATTTCTTGTCATTTTTGGCCATTGTAGGGAATTTTTCTTCATATGTTTTCTGAAATGTGAATGACATGGAAGTGAAGTGTTCTTTCTTTTCTTCTTTAGGTCATTTTTCTGGATTTTTTTGGTCATTTTATAGGTCATTTTTTTTAATATTTTCAGGTCATCAGAATCCATGCCCTACATATTACGTTTTTGGGTCATATTTTAGGTAATTTTTCTGGATTTTTTCAATCATTTTATAGGTCATTTTTTAAATATTTTCAGGTCATCAAAATCCGGGCCCTGGTTATAACCAATAATCCTCTCTCCCAAATCCATTTCTTACTTCTGTGTTTATGCTTTCCATAGAATTTCCTGTCCAAAACTGCATAGTTTCTTATTTTAACTTTGCAGTTTTCTTTATTTCCTATATCATCCAGGTTCATGTATGTTTTTCCTTGCATTTTGTTTTTGGAAACAAAAGTGTTCTTCCATTCCCCAAAAAATGCTGTTCTCCTCTTTAAGCAGTATGGTGAATCATATCAAAGAATCTAAAAAAAATATTTAGTAAATATTTCATGAGATTTTTTAGTTGATGTTACAGGGTATTCAATCATCGAGGAAACCAGGGGAGCACCGTGAGTTGGTTACAATATTTCTCACATATTTCTGCTGTAACTGCCAATAGTGAAATTCATCAGTGCTGATAAATGTGCACACACACACTAGCGTAGAGTGGATGGATCGTTTCTCTGTGAATATTCCCTTGCGTCAGTTTCTGTACATACACACATTATAAGAATACTGTAAAAGATAACACAAATTTACCTTGCTTTATAACAGGTGCTGAAAGTGACCCCCTTCTGCTTGCAAACATGCCTTGCATCACATAAATAAATTATGCGACACTTCCTGAGGTTGGTCCACGGTAATTAAACTAATTGCGCGTTATTTCATTCTGCAGACCTTCAGTGGTGCAAGGATTATTCTTGTAGACTTTTCCTTTTAGGTTTCCCAAAAGATAAAAATCGCAAATTGCAGCAGCAGTCAGCTGTTTGAAGAACGGGTTCAGTATGTCATTAACATAGCAGTCAGAGTTCACGGTTTCGTGGAAAAATAAGGGGTCAGTGATTCACCACAGACTTATAGCACACCACACCCCCACTTTTTCACTATGTAATGGCGTGAGGATTTTCATCGCTCCATATTCTTACGTTTTGTGCACTGACATGACCACTAACGTGAAACCACTCCTCATCAGTCATGAACAGAAGCTGTGGATCCACGATTCCATCATGTACATTTTGCAGCAGCCAGTTGCAAAAACGAATTCTTGCTGCATAATCTGGTTGTTTCAGCTCATGCACAGCTGTTATTTTATATGGGCGAAATTTGATTAATTTTATGCCTGTGAAAGCAGATCCTAGTGAAACACCTGTTTTCTGTGCTAAGCATCTTAATGATTTTCGAGGACTGATCTGTAGCCATGCCACAATATCCAAAACTTTTTCTTCAGTCAGCACAGTGCTCTTCGATTTTTTCTTTATGTCACACACTGAACCTGTGGCCCGCCACTTTTTCACACTCTTGGATTCACGTGACTTAGTGGGAACTGAACTGGCGAGTCAGGATATTTACAATGAAACTTATGGATACATTTTCTGTAAGATTTTTTCCTTGGAAAAATTTTGACAATCAACACTCGCTGTTCAATAGTGAACTTCATTTCAGTATAAATATCAACCGCCTATCAAAATCTCTAACACAGACTGACCATTAATGCAACTTAACTGTAGTGACTAGATCACACCACCCAACCATGTGCGTTTATCAGCGATAATGACTCATTCTGCTATCGGCAGTTACAGCAGTAATCTGAAGTATGTTGGGCCCAGTCAGCAGTGTTGTGAAGTTTCCTCCTTCATTGAACGCAGTGTATGTAATTTAGAAAAGTATGGAATTAGAATGACTTCACAATTGAATGCAATATTGATACAGTGTAGCAAACCTTCAATGGCTGACTTTTAAATGCTGCCAATATGACAGCATTGTTTGATGACCTCATTACGTGTGCTTTATAGACTTGATTATTGCAGGGCAAATATTTGTATCATAAGTTGGAAAGAAATATGTTTGTTATAATGTGGCTTACTTGCAGGTATCTAAGATACATTGTGGCCATTCAGTAATTTGAATTTGGACGGTCATACTTTATAGCATGGAACTTAATTTTTACAAACATATAATGTAGATAAGGCAGTTGCTGGTTTTGAAAATCTCATAGCATTGGCTGTGAAGAATGCTGTCTTCTGGGACAACAACACAACAAACAAAAACAAACTCCGAGGCCGTTAGTTTGCAAGCAAACTCTACTGACCGATCGACTGCTACTTGTCGGCGAAGTTAGTGCCAACTTTTGTGGGTAGAGGGTGTCGCGTGGTCAGCGCAATGGATTCCCATGGCCATAATCTCGGTTTTCTAGACTGGAGCAGCTACTTTTCCATTCAAGTAGCTCCTCAGTTATCCTCATGAGGCTGAGTGGATGCAATTCCAGACCCACTACTTCACAGAAAATCTGTTAGCGCCAGGAATCGAACCCAGGACCTCTGAATCTGTAGACAGGAATTCTGACCACTAGACCACAGAGGTGGCAAACAGAACACAGCTTTATAACATTTGACACATTTTTAAATTGTACTTTAGTTTATTGTTACACTATGCATCTGTTGAGAATTTTGGTTTGATACCGTAACACTTTGTTTTATGTACAACTATTTCTAGATGAGTGCCCCTACCGGCTTGTGGAAAAATTTCCACAAATTGCACATGATGATTTTGTCGTTATATGTTGCATCATATTGTAGGCCCCTTAGATGAAGAGTTGACACCAAGCCCAGTGGAGTTGCAAAGTGAAGATGATGATGCTGTTCCAGACCTTCCAGTTGCAACAAAACAAGCAAAGAATGTTAATATTGGCAGTCACTGTAACACCAGTAATCCTAACAAGAAATCAACATCATTATCATCAGCAACAGTGACAGGCTGTTCCAAAGATGAACAGCACGTCCAAGAACAGAGACTGGAAGAAGACAGTCCTGGCAAGTTGAATAATGATGTACCTCTGAAACAAAGGCTGCGAAGTGCAACACTACATAAATCTGATGCAGCTTCTGATGCTACCTCAGGTAGAGGTATTATGTCCTTAATATTTTTCTATTCATAAATACAAAAGCCCTTAATTAAGCCATTACCAGTACTAATAGTAGTAATGATGGAGTCAGTGACAGAAATGGTGACAACAGCAATAACAGCAGAATAAGTTGGAAAAGTATTGAGGCTTGTCATCTGAAACCACGATTAAACTTTGCTCAGTACTTCTTTTGCCACAGTTGGCAGAGCATTGCAATACCGTGCTAAGTAATACTTCATGTCAAGCCAGTATATGCGAGTAATTGTCATGATAATGTCATGATGACCTTGAATTTCAGTTGTGTTACCAGCTGGAGAACTTGATACTTCTTTCATTTTGTTCTGTAACATCCACCTCAGTTCATGAATCACTGAGATTAGCAGTCCTTTCATCTTGCATATTACTTGGCCTACACCATGCTCAGACATTGCTTGTGCCGCTTCCTTGGTAGCCTTGGACACCTCTCCTGTTTCTGCTGTCTGTACCTCTGCAATTATTGGTTCTATAGCTTGTGCATTGACCCAATCAGCCACTTACATTACTACTTGTGAAATAACCTCACCTCACACAGTCCAGTTTTTATATTCTCTGTTAAATACTCCAAAGTACATAGTTTTTCATTAACTATTAGCTTACCATCTTTTAAGTATACATGGAGACCCTTTCTGTTTGTATCACATAAATTAATTTTATTTTAGGTCCTCTATATTTTTGTATTATATCTTGTGCAGTCCTTTTTTTTTTTTTCCTGTAGGGTGTTATGTCAAATTTTTATATGTTCCAAAAAGTTGTCAGCTTCACTAAAAATGTACTTACTTACTCTCATGTGTTTAGAATTCTCTGTTCCCTGTCAAGATCATTTCAAGCCACTTATACTCCCAAATGTTCTTTGATCGTATTTTTTACCATTCCCATTGTGGTGATTCAATTATCATCAAGAACTTCATCTCCAAATATAATTGAACTATTCTTTTTATCCTAGTCATCAATCCAATGGACTGTGCTGCTAATTTGCCAGTTTTTGTCTCACATTAATGTAGCCTTCTGTCATGTCATATACTGTGTTACTGAGTAATTAAAAATTTTCCCCAGTTGCTGAACAAGGTTTTAAAATCACCAATAAAAAATTCTTTTTTTTTTAAAGCTTTCATATTTTTGTTTCAATAACTTGTCTGTTATCTTATTCACATTCTTAGCTACCATTTTCCACTTTTCAAATCACTAATATCACTGTAGTGACAGCCAGAAGGAACATCATTCTAAGTTGAAAATCATCAGTCATGTCAGTTTTCATTACACACCAATTTTTCCCCATAACAGCACACTTCACACAAGCCAGTGTGTACTCTCTTTATCTGGACAACGGCATCCATTGTTTGTATGTACCCAGTAGATACAGTAACTGTACATAAAAGCTAGTTGCACAGTCCCAAGTAATTTCTGTATTGTAAACTACTGTTTCTGCAAAATTGTTGCCACTTGAACGAAACTTCAGTAATTTCACTGTGGTTTCATTTAACTTGCAGCAAGTTCCACCTCATCATCAGGAAAAGCGAAGAAGAAGGAAGGTCCCTCACTTGAAGACCAGAATGCTGCTGCTGTCCAATGCATAGTGGATGCCAAGATCTCATCACAGAAGATATCTGAAGTAACCCATAATCATCAGTCTCAGAAGAATGGTTCAGTGGACACACAGGCAGTTAATACTGCTTCACCCATTGATAGGTGTCAGGAAAAGCTAAGTCACTCAAGTCCGTTGATGAAAGGTAGTTCAGCCACAGTTGGTTCTTTGCAAAAGGAAACAAATCAGATTTCAGGTTCTGGTGAAAAAAATATGAGTGTAAGAAGTTCAGATCCTGCTGAAGTAGCAAATGATGGTGTGCATAGTGAAGAAGTTATTCTGTTTGACGGTAATCTGACATTCCTAGACAATAGTGCCTCATTTTCAGTTAACACTGAAACCAGTAGCAACATATCAACCCCTCCACCACGTGAAACCCAGCTGTCTGGTGCAGTGGTTGCAATATCAGAGCCATCAATTTACAATGCTGGTACTAGCCAGGTAATGGCCATCGCAGTACCTGGCACTAATGATATTTTTCAAGGTGCAGCCACACTTAGTGAGAGACCTCCCTACCCACCATCTGAGCAAGCAGCACCACAGAGTTTTGTCACAAGTAGTGCAAGTCAGGCTGTTGGTACATTTGCCATTCTTGACACACAGACTGTGAACTCCATAACAAAGCAGCAGGATGTAGTGCCCATGTCAACTGTCATCATGTGTGGAAATGATGGCTTGTTTCCGCATGTGATCAGCTTACCACATAAGGACTCTGGTAAGTGTGTTGCTATGCTTATATCAAACTGTTTTGCTCATCAAAGAATTCGGTAAAAAGCACATTATATATTATAAAGGTTTTCAGAGAAATGTTGGTATTACATATACAGTAAAACTTGGTTATAGCAACATCGGTTTCTGCGACACCTTGTCTATTGCGTCAAATATTCAATGGTACGAACTAATTCCTCATAAAGCAACTGTTTTTATACCTTGCTTAGTACGACATGCACAAATGCATCAACCTCGTATGTAACGTCATTTTCATTCCCGAATTTCTCTGATATGGACATTGAACGTAATTTAGAAAGTGTGTATTGGGCAAGTAACAGGAAACAGATGAAGATAACTGATTACTGTACTCATATCTAGGTACAGTAAGGCACAACAATTGATGTAATCTACTGTAATTTGGTGAGTAGGCCTACCTTTAATATACAGTATTAGTGCAGTGTGTATTGTCAGTGAAAAGCGCTGTAATATGTTTTGATATTACACATTTGGGCAATTCCATGTTAATGTTACGTTAGTCTGTACTTAACTATGTATTTCACTAAAAAATGCAACATTTTAACTCGGTTTTGGTAGATTTTTACGTGACTAACATAAGGCTACTGTGGAAGTGCCCATTTCGGTTACAACGACATTCGTTTATAACGACACTATTTTTAGGTCCCTTTGATGACGTTATAACCAAGTTCTACTGTACTTAAATTTTTCTGAATAAAAATGACGTATTTGATGTCTGTACATTAACCTGTCAGTACAGTTGAACATGCAGTTTAATTTGCACTGTATATTTGACCGTAAGCTTAATTTCGCTGGCCAGTAAATAAGGAATGAATAACTCGAGTTTAATGAGGTTTGTACTGGGTTGTTGTGGCTTCTGTGTTCATGTGTAAATAACCTTGTATTTCCTGCAACTGAAGAGGTCAGTTTAAATGTAACTACATGACCTTATGATGATCATGGCCAGCCTGTCAACAAGTCATGTGCTCAGTGAGCTTGAACATATACAAGTCTTGAATGAAGTTCTAGACATTGAAAATATTGGCGAATATTTAATTTGGCTGATGATAGTGTTATTGGCAATGATCGTACACAATTGGGGACTCAAGAAATGTGATTAGTGGTAGAGTGGGAATGGTAGTAATGAACAGGAAGAAGAGAATTTAGAACATAGGATTGGTAGGGGTCTCAAGTTTGTGTGGCAAAATATAGGCTTATTTCTTGCTTCACAGGAAACATTTTTGATGTATATGGTCCCTTGTCTGGCACTGTTGAACTGGTTGTAGTGAGTGCATTTCAGAACATATTTGATGTATCTCCTGTGCAACTAATTATAGGTGAAACTAACAGATACTCTCAGCAAGAAATTAAAAAAAAAAGTGTTAGCTTTTCACATTTCACTCTAGGATTATGAAGTTAAAATATTAACAGTGGATGAAATGTACATGGTTTTGTCTCCCTTTATTTTGATGGGTATTATACAAAAGCCTACACTTAGGTCATCCTACTCAAAGAACCAGCTGCTATTATATTTTTTCCCCTCAGAATTTACCGCTAGAAGGGCTAGTGGTAATAATAAGATATATGAATTTTTCTGATGACAGAATGCAGAATAAATTTCAAGGACCTTCCAAACTTTTTAAATTTATCCAGTCATTCAGCACCTAAATAACAAGTTTCCAAATGTGTGTCTTCTGAAACAGAACATTATGATACATGTGTCCGTGACTATGGAAAGATTGTTTTTCTCTTAGATATTACCACTGAAGGTTGTACACTTCAGCACATTTGGGAAAGTTGTAGTGATGCACAAAGTATCCAAAAAAGTACAGACTGCTTATTGGGTGTTCATAGTTCAGTTTATTCAAATTTTTAGTGCTAATGGGACTTGGTCACTACTTTAAATTATGATTGGCCAAATTTAAAATTATCTGCATTAAGAAACACATAAGGGTATATTTTATAGGGTGTGAATGGCAGTTCCTTTGAATTTGACAGAATTTTGGATCATCTGATATTGGATTAATGAAGTTTTACTGTAAATCGTTTCCATCAGATTTGAAGAGTGTACTGCCACAGGGTATCACTAGATGCTAGTTTGTGAATACAGGAGCACCTTATGAAGTCAAGGGTGTCCTTGAGATGAGAGAGAATCTTATGTGAATTACCTCCCTGTTTCAGTGAGAAAGAATTATCTTCAGTCAGGATTGGGTGGAACCCACTATTTGCCCATTGCTCCTCGAGATTCTAAAGTCTGTCAAGGTAAGTCAGACAATGTCCTGATGGGCATATATGAAGTGAGGCTCTCAAATTTTCTTTCTCACAGTTCTTTCCCTCCATTTTCCTGTGCTCTCTGTACCATTTCTTTGATCATAACTTCCATCTGATTTAGCCACATTATCCTCATATTCACCAGATCGTTCATTTAGTTGGGTTTACAAGATTTGTTAGTGTTCATCACAGTAGGTTTTCTTCCTCTAGGTTTGTTCCTTAAAAATTAAGTTTGAGCACACTCATAAAACTTGTTCCTCATATGCCTCTTTCTTTTCTCATGGTGCTTTCCTATGCCTTTGGAACAATTTCCATTGTGAGTCTCTACAAGTAACTCTTTAATGAATGTTAAGTGGACTGTTCTTACTGCCCTGTGCAAGTCTTAAGTGTAGAGCTCATACCATAGTCTGTACACCCACGTTAATCCACTAGCCGCCCTAATGGTCATATAACTAGGCCTGGATGTGTCATTCTGATAGGTTACCACTGATGGGAGCTGTGATGTAATCAACCACAAGCTCCAAAGAACTGTGTAAACCTATACATGTTTTCACAGTATAGATTGGAGACTATAAGCAGCTATTCCCATAGCAAGAGTGGAAGGTTGCAGCCTTCCAACAATGTAGGACTTTCTTTTAGGTTTATAATTGTCAGTGATGTCCAAAAGAGTAACTTTGATGTATTTCTTGAGGTTGAGTCATGGTTAATGTTCGTTGACATTAAAGATTGGAAGGTTTTGTTGCCTTTTTTGACCATTGGCAATAGTCTGATGGAGTTGTGAAGGGAGGACATTTTCACTGTTACAAACTTATGTACAAAACAGTTATTACTATGATGTATGAATGACAGTGATACGACGGTCAGCTTAAATGTACTGAAAAGACAAAGTGAAGCACTTTACGTACAAAAAGCTCTGAATAGTATTGCTGGCTGTTAGGGTTAGAAATCCTGTGGAGTAGAGGCCAGTACTATGCTGTGAGAGGATTTCCTTAAAATTTATATTTATAAAGTTAGGTTTTACTTATCAAGCCATAACTTCTCTGACATTTTATGGATTTCAGTAAGACTGAAAAAATTATTAACCACATACTGTATAGTCTAAAAATATAATAGATTATACCTTAGTAGTTGAGCTTTTTTGGCATGTCTTGAATTACTCTGTTACACATAGACCAGCCTCACAATCAGGCAATCAAAACGCTGTCTACCTTCTCCTGTTCTGTTTGCACTGTTTATAACATAGAACACACTTTGTTTGGATTTGATTCATGGATTTCATTCAGTAGAATGTGTTGTATTGATTTCCGTCCATGGGTACAGCTTTATTAGTCATTGCATAACAGTGAATGTTTCCTAGCGATAATTGCAATTATTGTGCCGAAAGTGCATCGTTGCTGCAACATATGACTTAATGCAGGCCGTTCCCACATCACCCGCAAGTGCATTCAGGAACACAGAAATGACAGTTAATCATTTTCAGAAGAAAGAGGGCAGCAGTTCTTATACTTCTGAGGTATGGATTTGTGAAATGCATAACTTTGCAAATTGACTCTTTCCATTAATATGAGAGACGAAGGCATGGGATCTTTATGAAAACATGATTGCAAGCTTTTGGGTAGTGCCTCTGGGAGCAGAAGGTGCCAAGATGACATGCACTCCATCTTCAAAGACAGGTACATATTCGGTTGCTTGTTACAGATCAAAATTGAATTGATGGTCCTGGACTGTATGCATCATTGTGTATAGAGATTTGTTCACGTGTTATTAAAAGGTAAAGTTGTCACTGTGCTTCACTAATTAAGGACTATGTCATGAAGGTGTATGGGGGAGTGGATGTACAGATCCACATTTTCTTGACCTTGGTACTAGCTGGAGGTGAGTGGTCAGCTTCACGCTCCGGCCCCTTTACCCCCAGTGAAAGAGCTTCCGATACTCCTCAGGTAGGAGATTGGTTGGACTCAGTCTAGACAACATGGAGAAGAGAAAATTCTTGACCCTTCAGGGACTCAAACTTAGACCACTCAGTCATCAAACCTGTAGTCTGTCACTATACCTACTACGCTATCCTGGTTCTTGTTCACATATGATTACTTGCATTAATTCTTGTGTGAAAAACATCTTGAACACATTTGATGCTTCAGTTACATTTTCTACTCAATTTTGAGGTTACAATTACCAGCAAATTGTTCTCTTTGCCTTACATAATTCAACACATTCTCCCACTGGAAAATACCATCCTGCATGCTGAGATCCATCTTATACACTGTTACTGTCTTCATTTTCTCTTTCTTCTATGGCAGTAAGTGGAACATGTTATTGCAGAATGGATAAATAACTCATTCAGAGCATTATAAAAATGTTCATGTGACAGAATGTCTCTTCTAGAATAGACTGTGATTGTATGAAATTGCTGGGAAATATAAACATATAGGTACTTGGTTATAAGGAGGGGAGGGCAAAACAGAAAGCAATATTGTTTATATTCTTACATGGAACTTCATGATCTGAGGTACAAGTATATGCAGCTGGACGATAAATGCTACACTCTTCTTTGATAGATATGGAGCTGAGTTGTTAGCATTGACCTTTTGGTTAATATGGCTGACAACAAGATCTGGTATGCTCTTGTGGATCTACCATATGTCCAAAAAGTATCACACTTTATCTTTTTCCGCTCTAAGTAATGGCCAAAGGGGTGAGGAAACTGAGCGTAGTGGTAGAGGGGACTTTCATGCGCATGCGTGATTTTTTGCTGACTCGCAACACTGTCGGATGCGTCTGGCTGCCAGATAGCGAAGTGGTGTAACACATGTTCGTCGCATTCTCATTTCGTTCAAGATGACAGAACACTTGGAGCAGCGATACTGTGTCAAGTTTAGTCAGAAACTTGGGAATACCCAAGCAGAAAAAAGTTCACAAAATTCAGCAGGCTTTCGGCGATGATGCAGTGGGGCTCACTCAAATTAAAGAGTGGTTCAACCACTTTAAACATGGCCGTATGTCGGTGGACAGTGAGCAGCGTTCCGGGAGACCGTCAACGAGTTGAAATGCTGATGTCATTGAAAAAGTGCAGACCCTGATCATGGAGGACCGTTGTTTGGCCATCCATGAAGTTGCTGATGAGGTTGGGATCAGGAGAGGTTCCGCAAACACAATTTAACTGAGGATTTGGGCATGAGAAGAGTGGCGGCAAAATTTGTGCCCAAGCTACTTTCGCTGGAGCAGCAACAACTCCTCCTTGAGGTCATGCAGGACATGCTGGAGTGCGCCAACAGGGATCCTGAGTTCCTGAAGACTGTAATCACTGGTGACGAGTCGTGGGTGTACGGATATGACCCGGAAACCATAGGTCCAGGCATCACAATGGAAGCATCCAACATCCCTGAGGCCCAAAAGAGCACGACAGGTTCGGAGCAATGTGAAGGTGATACTGACTGTTTTTTTCAATTACCGGGGTGTTGTGCTTCATGAGTACGCACCATTAGGCCAGACTATCAATAAGGAGCACTGCCAAAAAGTCCTCTGCCATCTTCATGATGCAGTTCGGTACAAGAGACCAGAGCTGTGGGACACACGCAACTGGCAGCTGCATCATGACAACACCCCAGCTCATTCATCGCACCTGATCCAGGGTTTCCTGGCCAAGCACGGCATTCCGCAGGTTCGCCAGGCTCCCTACTCTCCTGACATGGCTTCTTGTGATTTCTGGCTGTTCCCAAGATTGAAGACACCACTAAAAGGCTGCTGTTTTGACAGCCATGAGGACATCATACGGAATGCAACGGCGCAGCTGCATGCCATTCCAAATGAAGCCTTCCAGAATTGCTTCCAGCGATGGAAGCACTGCTGAGCTAAGTGTGTGGAGTCACAAGGGGCCTACTTTGAAGGCGATTAGGTATTGTAATCACCCAGATACAGAACTTTTTTTTTCCCGGCCCAAGGTCGGATACTTTTTGGACAGAGTAGTATGTAAAGATTGTAGGTTGATCAGGACAAGGGATGACAAATCCTTCCCTCTTAACATTGTGTTTTGACATTGTAGCTCCTACCTGTCCTAACTCCGTATAGGTTAATTGAAATTACTTTCATTTGATTGTACATTCAAAATCCATTGAAATGCTTCTCTTGCCAGAGATCTTGACACACTCAACAGCAATATGCAGTGAGCCTCTGGATCTGTGACATTGTGGCGAGACTGGCTACAGTGACACCTTTTTTTGAAACCTGTCACTTTGCATGAACTGCTCTGTAGTCCATGTAATGAATGATGAAAACACTCCCATTTTTCTTGTTTGGCAAGGCAGTCTGGAACTTCAGAGTTCTTTGTTTTTCTGAGCATTAATTAATGATAATTTTTTATGTGTTTACTGAGTTTGAAAAATAATTGTTTCTAGTAATGCTGTCAGTTTGTTGAATTTTATAGGACTGCTATAAAAATTCTCTGTATTTGGTTTCTTCCAGATCCCAAACCTGGGACATCAAAGCAGACCAAACCCACCACATCATGGAGAAATAAGCGCAGTTATTCAACTGGCAAAAAGAAAGTGGTGAGGAATAGTGATAGAGACCAGACTCTTTCGAAAGTCAGTAAGCCAAGTACTGCAAAGGATATTACATCATATGCTGGTGACAGTAGAGATGAGGCCAAGTTGATATGCTCAAATACAGTGCAACAGAATTCAACAGGTTATGCTCTCGGTCTTGCCAGTATAATTCTGGAATCACCACAAGCAAGAATAGTCCCAGTTGACAGTGTAAATGCACATCAGGATGCAGGATGGGAAAATTTGCTAGGAGCACTTAATCTGAAAGAAGCATATGAGAGTTCTTTGAACTCAAAATCAAAGGGGAATGAACTGGACACGGGAATATACAGTAAAAGTAAGGCAGAAGCAGATGAAAGTAAAGTTATAAAATCTAAAAGTGAATTCATATTGCAGAATGTTGATAAATATCCACCAAGCCCTCGGCTTATGACACTTGTTAATCTTAGCAAGAATCTTGCCAATAGTGGATGTTCACCATCAACTCAAAGTACTGGCATCACTGAAGAAACCAATAACAGAAAGTGCAGTGAAATCAAAGTGACCCAGAAGCTTCGCGAGACCCCACAAAGAACCATTGTTCAAGGTAGAATAGATACAAACTCTAAACGGATGAGTCTTAGCACACCTCGTAGGCAGAGGCATGTACGAATGTTGGACTTCACAACACCAACTAAGGCCAGAACCATTCCTAAAGAGCTGCAGCCTAAAGAACCTTCTCCTAAGACAATCAATAAGTTAACTAAAACTTTGCACAAGACAACAAACAATGTTGTAAATAAAGCAAGGTCATCTCTTTTTAAGTTTCCTGTGATTGAGTCAGGAAAAACTACTGTAAGTGGTGCACCTTTGCTAACTACAGTCTCATCTTTCTCAAAATCATGTTCTGACAATTGTCATGGTAACTTACCACCGATAGCAACACGAAGTCCAATGCCTCAACTTAGTGGAGGCTGGGATAATGCAGCTGGAGTTGGCCAAATTATATGTGATGACATTACTGTGAGAAGAGAGGCAAGATTAGGTGATGCATTTGGGTCAAATTTGTCTGTGACAGAAACTGAAGATGAGAAGAATCTCTCTGATAAGCAGTCTTTAATTACACAAAGAACAAGTCCCTGGAAAAACAGGGAGACTGGACATAAAGTGGCCCCAAATCCTGAAGTAGGAAGTTGCCCGAGCAACAAGAGCCTGCCAGATCCAAAAAAGTCATGGGATTCTGATCTTCGAGCATGTTTGAATACTGATTATGAAGGAGTTGAGCTGCCAACGAATGACAATGGTTCTGCTAAGAAAACTACTAAGCAGAATAAAACAAGAACCAAAAAAATGAGAAAGTCCTCACAGAAGACAGAAGAAAAAGCCGTGACGTTAAGAAAACATTTGAATAAAGATGCAAACATGGACAGTGGAGGTACAAATTTAAATCAAGAAAGTACGAAGCATGAATTTGAAAAAATACCTTCAAGTGTAGTTATTCCAGTTAACAAATCACTTCACAGCTTTGATAAGGCAGATCTTGACACTGAGACTGAAAATCAAAATAGGGACTTAAGTATTGAAGGCGCTATTCTAGTTAAAGGGAAATCTGATCTTCCAAAAAAATCTGTTGAACACACAAGTGAGAATGCTCACACATATGTAGAGTTAAATGGGAAACTGTCAGTGAATAATCAATCCAAGAAATGTGTTTCAGTAGACACATTGAACGAAAAAGAAAATGGCAAGCTGCCATACAGCCAAGTTGCCAGTGACCAAGCTAAAGCAGTCAAGGAATCAGGTGGAGAGGATCAGGCAGTAAGGGTGCAAAGAAAAGAGAATTTTGCACTGGAAATTGCAGCTAGTAATAAAGATGACTTTTCCAAATCTTCAGATTCGTTTAGTGTAGAAAGTTTAAGTTCCAGTCCGTCAGTTGTATCTGTTCTTACCATGGCCGTTAGTTCCACAGTTACCCAGTCACCAGCAGAGCTGAAGATTGTAGAGAAGAAAATAGTGCAGCATGGTTTGCATACTTACCAGTCATCAAAATGTGTTGATACTGAAATGTGTGTGATACATTGTGACGATACTGGTAATGCTGATACAGATCCTGTTGCTCATGCATCTGAGATAGGTTGTGAAGTGACAGGTAGTACATTTTCTGCAACTGATGATCATGATGTACCTATCTTGCAAAGCGAGGAGCCTGTTTCCTCAACATCAGGATTTTATCCTGTAGAGTCCCAGAATAAAGATTTGCAAACATCTCAGGATTACAAATCCATTCCCGGTAAAGAACCATCCATTGCAAAGGTGCTGAACAACCCACCATCAAAAACGTCAAGGACGCAAGAACAAGAATGCGATATAGTGAATAAATCAGATCTACAAGCAAGATCAGCTGCAGTTCCTATTTTTGATACTCCCAGAAAGACTGATGACCCTGCCTCAACATGTTCTCGAACTGAGTTCATGCACATACCTTTGACACCCCGCATGATGAGCCCATGTCCAGATGATACTCCAATTACAAAACCGGCAAATGGAAATTCTTGTATAGATTTTTCTTTAATACAAACCCCAAGTTTCCCCCCAACTCCTAACATTGCAGTGACACCTGAGTCATGTTCAAGTCAAGGAACACCATCTTATGCAACAAGATCAACAGACTATTCCTCATGTTCCTCATATTACAAGCCATCTGGCAAACTGGACTCCTGCAGCTCGGCCAAGCCATTGGAAGAGTTTTTGATAGAAGAATGCAGGAAACTAGAAAACAGGATTGTTGCAGAGACTTCTTGTGCATATAATGAGATTAATAAGGAGAATGCTTCAGAGTGTGCTGATAAAGGGCAGTGCCGACCATTATCTGTTACAGATAAAACTCCTGAGGAAGCAACCCCATTATTATCAGATTCTGTGTCTGATTTTCCTGTCACAGTACATGTTGGAAAGGAGCTTGTGTCAGGCAAAGCAGATGAAGGACAAGTAGATTCATTAATTGGTTCACCTAAGAGGGCAGCATCACCACAGAATCAAGAACAAAGGAAAGAGTTGACACAGAAAAGAGGTGTAACAGATCGTGACAGTTATTCAAAGTTAGAGGAAACAAACATTGCAATAAATAAAAAAGCAGGGTCTGATTTTAGCTCTGGTAATAGAGACAGTGACTTGAAAGACGGGCTGTCAGTAATGTACACCTCGGAAAGTTGGAAAGCAGGGCCTGTTTCACTGACTACTAACAAGAGTAGTGACTTTGAGGATAAACCATCAGAAACACATGCTTTAGCTGTAAAGTCAACAAACAGGAAAGCAAGGACAGCAAACGAAAGCAGTGACTACAATGATGGGCCATTAGGAACACATGCTGTGTCTTTGATCACAACAAAGGGGAAAGCAAGGCCTATTTCAAGAGCAAATGAAAGCAGTAGTAACTGGGAGAATGAGCTGTCAGAAGCCCAGGTGAACATGTATAAGGAACCTGATGAAAAAACTAAGGATGAAATTATCCAGAAGCACCTTGAGGCTGCTCGGATGAAGCTTTTTGGTTGTTATTCACCAAGTGATGATTCCGATTTTGAGTCAAGCAATGATTTTGGGCAGAGTGAAGCTGAGACCAAGACTGTATCATCTAATGATGTGAATTGTGAAGCATTATCCTGTCATTCAAGGATTCCTGGAGATGAGATTTTATCTGAACATGATCAGCCCACAAATGACTTAAGAAGATTGTCTGTGTCCTATGGGAATGATGATGCAGCAGGGACAAAGTCACATACCTCTCTTTCTGCAAAGAATACAACATTGAACAACAAACTTGATGAAAAGAATCATTGCATGATTTCAGAACTGAAGGGGATAGATGTTCCCGCCAGCATGCCTAACAGCAGGGTTGAAGAATCTGTAGAACAAGATGGTGGGACAGTATTCACTGTGAAAAGTGTTCCTGATGCCCTGGGGCCATCAACATCCATAGAGAATAATAATCCCACATACGATGGACACAGTGTTGGTGCAAGAAAGCAGCTGAGAGGGAGGGAAGACAACTTGGCAAGGACTGCCCATATTATTCCCATGAATAGGACAAATGATGATGAAACTATGCAAACAAAGAAAAATTCAAATCTCTCTGTGGAAGCCATTGCAGAAAGACTAACAAAAGAGAAGACAGCAGTCCAGGCCCATCCCATGACACAGACTCCAGCCTGTGAGTCTGTGAGCTGTGAAGATAGCAACTCTGAGGATTTTCCAGCTTTGCATCTGAGTTCAGATGATGAGACACAGTCTGAAGCCATAAACTTATCTCAAGTGGAATCTCAAGTGGCAAAATTGCATGGGGGAGAAGAGACCACAGCTGATGTTTCGACACTGAGAACTCCACCCAGATCTGTCCATGATGTGTGCAGGGATTTGGAACGGACTCCTGCTGGGTACCGTGCCATTGAATCAGGTCCCAAGTTGTTGCAAGCAGTTAATGCACTTGGGAATGAGGGGCAGGAGCCGACATGTGAAGAACAATCAGATACCAATAAATGCAAAGAAGCGGGGGTACCTTTTGAATCTGTTCGTACAAATGACTGTAAAACATTGAAAAAAGAAGTGAATCTATCTGAAAGACAAGAAAATACCAATAAGAAAATAAGAGCTTTGCTAGGCGATGATGTAAGTCCTCTAAAGGACCTAACAGAGACAAGAAAAGCCTGCAGAGGTAAAGAACATGAAATTTTGCACAAACTTCTAATTGCTGCAGAGAAACATAATTCACCAATCAAAAGCACTATGGAAATTGAATTGCAAGAGAAGAAATTGGACGAAAGTTTGAGGATAAATTCTGGAATAAAAGGAGTACCTGAAAATGAAGTTTTATCAGAGGAAAAGAAAGTGTCTGATTCAAATAAAATAAAGAAGGGAACCAAATCATGTGAAACTTGTACCACTGAAGAGAGTGATTCAGTGGAATGCCGGACTGCTGCACTGGTGCAATGTGAAGTGCCCAGTGTGGAGGGCATGACATCACTTGCTACAGCAGTTAAGTATGAGCAGCACCAGGTTTCTGATAACGAGACATATGTTGAAATAGTGTATACTGATGAAGGGCCTAAAGGAAATAGTCTTGTATTTGAAGATATCTGCAAATTTTCACTCACTTTTGAACTAGGTGAGGATTCAGATGGAGTGGTGGAAACTTACAAGTGTACAGTCTCAGAATTCCAGGAATTGTTTAGTGCCTCACCTAGAGAGTGCAGCATTGAGTCCGAATCTTATGAAAGCGGTCAGTTTGATGTCAAGAGAAAGATCCCTTCCAGTACGTATAAGGAAGACAGAGATTTGGATTATGTTAAAGTTAGCAAAGTTATGGACAAAGAATCATTCCATAAAGGTAGGGGTGCTGGTCTCTACACAAGGGAACACCACACAAGATCGCGATCCGCAAGCTTCGGAAGGAGTGCAGATGTTTCGCATTATAGAATGAATACCTCACGTGTTCACACGAGATCTTCCTCTCCAGGCCACAGAAGATGGGCATTGTCTTCTGTTGATAGAAAAAGAGCCCAGTCTTTGGATCGTAGGTCACCATCATCATTATCTCCAGTATTATCTGCCTCTAGAATGTCCACATTTTCACCATTGAACAAGCTGTATAATGAATATTTGGGAAATGAGAGGGAGTCTGCAAGGTTCACATCCCACAGCAATAAAGGAGACTGGAATTTCAATTTTAGAAGCAGAGAGAAACTTCCATTTGGACAAAGGGGCAGGAGATACGCGAATTATCATAATAGGCATCTTCATTCAAAAAGAACTTTTGTTCATTCTTCTTCCAGAGAGTCTATCCATCCTGCACCAACATCATCACATGGAATATCTGATTCTTATAGCAGAATGCTGACACATTTCAAACAGCATCGACCTTCAGCTAACAAGAGGTCAACACAGGAAGGGAGACCCATAGAAACATGCTCAAGAAGGCTCTCAGATGATACAACTTTATTACTTGGAATGCATTCAGCAGCAAAGGATACGGGAAAGGAGTTAGCTACCTCATATATACAAATTGAAGATGCTATGGACGGAAGGCAGGAGATGCAGGACACAGATGAGTCTTTGGAGGAGGGGGAGGTGGTTGATGAAGATTCAGTGCATGGACTTAACAAATACAAATGTTATGATAAACCAAAGTATCCATCATCAGGTAATTTTATCATGTGTATGTTTTTTTTTTTTTGCTCTTTGTGCATGCTACATGTCTTGCTGATCTCATCCTTAATTCCCTTGTCCCATTTCTGTTAGATGCAGAGTACAGAAGTGTAAATCTCCATTCTTTTTAGCGCCCTGGCCATTAGATATATACTTTATTTTCACACATTCAGAATTCGTCTGAACATTTGAGTTTGGACCAAGGTTTTATTAAGATGTAAAACATGAAATATGCTCCATTCAGGAAAAAATGATAACATTTTTATTTTGACTTCATTGCATAGTTTAAATATTTATTGCTTTCATGTATTGTTTCATGTGGCTTCTGATGATATAATGACGCTAGTGGAAAGTGTTCAGGCCAAAAACTTCGGTGAAAATACTGCCACAAATTTGAACAGAAAGGCAAGTGCTAACAACATGATATCAGACCAGTCACTTGACAAGAGGAGGTAAGTTTTAATCATGTGTCCCATATTCCAGAACTTCAAATTTAATTTATTATTATATTTTAGTCTAATTTTACAACTTTTCTTTAATATTCAGATGTATATGTATTATTTTCCACTAAGCTTCAATACTGCAGCTTTAGCGATGAGTGTTTTATTGAAAAGAACTACCTGTTCTGACATCACAGGTCATCATCAGGTGGTGCATTAGCTAAAAACTTTGTTATTGAATTGTCATTTTATGTTTTTTAGCCATCTTGTTGAAATATAGATCCAGTTTTCAATAGGTGTAAAAGTAAAGCTATCCCTGTAACAGGCTGTGAAGGCCCATAGGGTTGTGAGACCTTAAGGGTCCAACATTATCTAGACAATCGGCTCAAAGATGGCGGTAAGGTTGTCAGCCTTACGTGCCAGCCGCGCTTTACTCCCCAGGAAAATTATTTAATTAATTCCTGGTACTCATTTCTGTTAGAGGCTGAGTAAACCCCAGGGCCTAGTGCGGCCGGAAGGATTAGGTCAATTGAAAAAGTCCAATCACCTCATCGGGACTTGAACCTGCGACCTTCCAGCTTGTAGCATAGTACCTTAACCACTACGCTACTGCATTATACGTATGATGCCTATATGTAGACATATTGCTGAAAATATACGTGTGTTTTATGTTATATTGTCAATCAGTTGGCTTTTTATCATACTATTTATTTCAGTGCAGTGTAAACCTATTGAAAATTGGATCCATATTTCAATACAGTAGCTAAAAAAGATAATATGACTATTCAGTAATAAAGTTTCTAGTTGGTTTGCCACATGATAATAACCAGTCAAGCCAAAGCCAAAATAGTTTGCAATAAAATCAGTAGTCATCTTTGAAGCTGGCTGACAATTATTATAGCAAATTTAATATTTATGAATGTTGTAGTTAACTAAACACAGCATGATACAGACTTTTTAAATGTCTGTATAATGTTGTAAATTGCTTTACTGCACTGTTCTCTTGTTGGATCAAGAACTAATTAAAATGGAAATTAAAATCTATGATTAAAAATTGAAATTACAAGTTAAAATCCAAGCGTTATCATGTGTAGGTTTAAGAAACTGGTGTACCTCATTGTATGTAGGTCTGAGGCTCAGTATCAGTGCAAAACAACAATAGTAACTGTGGCTATTCAAATCATATGTTAAACAGAGGACATGTATAGGGAACCATAACAAACACCTTGGATGTCTTAAAGATAGAAAGAAAGGGAAAACATTTAAAGTCAGGGAAATACCACATTATTAGACCAGCAGAAATAACTTACACGTGAATGACACATAACACATTCATAATCCAGTATTTGAAACTCTGTATAAGGTGTATACCAGATAGCAGCACTAACTTATTCCTTGGAGCTGAGTCCTTGAAAAGCCAACAACTGCTCGGCCACTCAAGAAATTCCCAGCATTTTATGGAATCAAGATGTTCATTACTGTGTTCACGAAAGCCCACCACTGGTCTCCGTCCTGAGTGAGATGAATATAATCCANNNCCCCCCCCAACCTTCCATTCTGTTTCCCTAAGATCCATTTCACTGTGCTGCCATTTATATCTAGGATGTTGGTCCCTTTCCTTCAGATTTTGCTACAAAAGCCCATATGCAGTCCTTTCCACCCTGCCCTGCCCATCACATCCTTGAGTTGATGACTCTAATTATATTTGGTGAAGAGTAATGTCATCTCTCTTTAGTCCTGATATTCTCCTCAGCATATTGTTTTCAAACATCTTGATACCTTGGTCAGAGACCAAGTTTCACACCCACACAAAACTACAGGAAAAGCTGTAGTTTTATGTGTTTGAATATAGACTGAACTGAAGGGAACGAAATGTTACCCAAATTTAATATACTCTTAATTTCCTCATGAATCAAATTTTATTGTTTGAAATTTCCAAAGGATCTGTTAGCTATCTTTATGTTATGATTTTGCACCAGGTAGCATCGCACACCCAGAAATTAAAGCATAAGAAATTCAACACAAAGTAAATATTCTCAGTCTTCATCCACTGACCATGAACAGTACATGTAAGTACAAGTACATAATATAGTATCACATTCCCATACTAGGGCAGTATCAAAATATAACACGTACTTTTAACTCTATTCATTGTGGCCTGTCTCACTAGTAAAATAAATTATAGAATTATAGTTGTTAACACCGTCCAGGGTGATTCAATTTGTAGATATTTATTGGTCAGCTGACTGTCTTCAGAAGGCATAAGATTAACATGTTCAGAAACTGCTATTACAAGTTTTGTAATATATATTTTGAAGATTTTATATACAAATTATTTACAATTATTTGGTTTCAGATCTTTTTAATGTTTAATGCCTAAGATCTTTAACCAGTATGGTTTGTGTTATGCTTCTTCTCAAAACTGAATATTGGGATGTTATCTGGAGTCCTTAGAGGTCCTTGCAGTGATGCCCCCCACCTTTTTTTAGATTATTATGGTTCTGCAATTATATTATTGGTATTTTATATATATATATATATTGTGACATGGATGGCGCAACAGAAAGTAGGGGTCACGTGAACTCTGCAATCTCGCGAGTGACGTCACATACCCCTACTCGTTCCATTATTACGCAATGCTCGGTAAACCCCTCCCCTGCGGTGACGTAACAAGGGACACGGCAGTTACTACACAGCAATAAACAGCTCTCGGCAGCGTTCCCCAGCAACACCTGTACACACTATGTTATGCAACAGTGGTAGCTATCTCGTAACGGTTTTCTGTGTTGTCAGTGCGGAAGCTACATAACAAGGAGTATTCGTCAATGAGAGAGAGTAACCAGTCAGTTGCAGTCTAGCATCCACCAGAGTGAATTGAAGTCCAGCAGTTATGAGTCGAGTTGTATCGAGTGAATGGAAGTGACTACAGCAGCAGAAGTAATTGTGATACTGCAGATGGCAGTAGTTGTGAAACTGTAAATTGTGTAACTGTAAGAGCGAGTGGAATAAATTTGCTAGATCCAAAACGGCGTGAAGTTATTTGTCGCATTACCAACACCCAACACATGTCAATATATATACATATATATATATATACAGGGTGTCCCAGGAGGAATGTGCCAAACTTCGGGAGGGTGTTCCTTATGTTAAAGTATGCCGATATAACCCAAAACACCTATGTCCAAAGTTGAACGGTTACGGAGATAATGGCCCAAGAAAAGTGTGGTCTTCTGGCAGGTCCAAGCACTGTACCTCGCTGTACCTCTCAGCTGAGAGCCCTTATCTATGTTTGTCCTTGAGTGCGATGATACTCCCTAGCCGTGCTTATGTAGTTGGCTCATACCAGAACG